GCTGCTTGGATTCGATGTTTCTGGTTTGGTTTGGGGTTTGATCAAGCAGTTGCTGATGGAATGACAAGCATCGAGGGATTTTTGAACCGTGAGGTTGTTTCTCAAGGTACATCTGCATAAAAAGGTCACATGTACTATTACTGACCTTCTATTCCACAGGGATATCAAATGTCAAAATAAAGGTATTTCGATTTCTTTGAACTTGAAAGAAACGTTAGCTGATACCCATCTAGACTGAGTTGATATCAAGTCATGCGATATTTGAAACTCCAGTTCGAGGCAGCAAACGCCCTAGGGCGAACAGCAATGCTAGTGATAGCTCCAGCGGATCCGACCCCTCGAGTCCTGTGCCTATCTTTAGTTCCACACAGAGGGCGGCATCAAACTATTCCGCCAGCAGTCCTCCAGACCTCGAGCAGCGCAACTCACCCTCAATTGCACTCGCATCTACTCTCATACCAAAATCCAGCTATACCGGGCCTTAAAAGACCCCCAAAGTCGGTAAGGAGCGTTTGCTTGCCAAAAGGGCCAGCAATTTTGTACCATATCAGGTCGAATCGGCATGCCCTCGTGCCACCTGGTCACAGGGTCTAATGATAGATCGGATGCCAGAGGAACACATAAAGCTTATCGAATCCATGGTTAATACTACCTGGCCGGATGAGCCATGGAATCAGCCAGAGAGGAGTGGACGGCGTTCGTTTTCAGATGCCGATCTACGCGCCAGTCCTATCACAGCACCCGAAGTCGACTTAGTATCTGAGTTCTCCTTGCCAAAAGACAGAGACAACAATGGTAAAGGCCAGATTATGGTTGGCGGAGCTCGCCAATCTGAAATACCTGCATTCATCTTTGAAAAGTTACTGGACTTTCAAACGCTCTATCCAGATGATTCCATTCATGTGACTGCCGAGTCGAAGTCGAACATACTAGGCGAATTAATAATGACCTGGAAATGCGACGATTGCACTGGGCTACCGTGTCCACTTGATCTTCGTGATCACAACCTTACCGACCTTTCTAAGCATCTACAGTACTCTGGACATATCGCTCAAGTCTATGGAAGATCCAACCTAAAGGGCCAAATTGCGACTGTCACATCTGCTGTGAAGAGAAGAATGGAGAAACTAAGGAGAGGGAGAACAACGTACGATCTTTACTACAAGCTTGTGAACTGGGGCGCACCGCCAGCTTCTGGCTATCCCGAACCATTTCCCATCTCGAGACCCAGTGCGCCCTCGTCAATTCTTTTTAGTTCGGGGAGTTCGTTCCTAACCCACGATTCTACCCCCGCAACATCTAGATCTGTACCAGCTGGCAGCAGCTCGAAGGAACCCTACTTTGGTCTTGAAGATGCCGCCTCCCAAACCCCGGGGCAAATCCAGGCCAATACATCAACCGCCGGACCTGTGCCCAAAGAAGTTTTCACAGAAGAATATAAACTTGTCATAGACGACTGGATTCAAAAAGTGGGACAGCACTCCTCGACGCTCAACGATCAAGCCAAATCAATAACTGAGCAAAATGTCCAAGTCCAACAAACTATGCAGATGCTAGGCGATATCTTGGATACTTCTGCAACACAAAATACTGCCCTTGAACGTATGCGCACTGATACAACGGATTGGATGAAAGATCTGGAAAAGGAGAACAAGAACCAGAAGGCCACGATAGATCGTTTGCGTTTGAAATTGCGGACGCAAAGGGATGAACAGAAGGCGTTTGAGGCGAACACTGAGGCGAGGTTTGCGAGGATGGCACAGGATAATAAAGCGCAGTTGGCGCTTGTTACGGATTCGATCAGACGTGGGGACAAGGGAAATACCCCGAAAGAGCTTGGAGTTCCTCAAATTGGTACGCAAATGAGTCCGCGGAAGCGTGCTCGCCACATGTGATCTTTGGGAAGTAATACTGGCTTATGTATGGCTTTCTTATGCAACGGGTTGCGACACCACATGGGCACTGTTGATGTTTCGTATCAGGAACTTCAGACGTCTTGACACTGGTTTATATTTACTTGGAGTTGGGTTTTGGCTTTAAGGCCGGAAGACTTGTACTATTAGCAGCGCGACAATATATTGTACGGTTTATTATACGTATATCTTACCTAAAGGCTCCATTCGACTGGCCAAAACGCTTCATCTATTCTTACGCTATAACCCCTCAAATATACAGTCACGTGTACACGCACAGACTTCTTTGTTTACATTCGACGCGACGCGCTTTTCTCTGTACAACCGACTATGCGATGCCTCCCCCCTCACCAACAATACCCTACACCCAATACCTCAAACTCACCAAATATATAACCCAGCATATCTCACAAAGCTCTTCGTCGTCTCTCCCCAGCAGAAAGCTCGTCCAACTCTGCCTCAATCATTTCTATCCGCGCGGCGGCGAGACGGAGAAAGCCGGCATCGTGGAGGCCATTAGGCGCATGGTTGATGATCGGATTCTGAGCTCGGTGCAGCTGCAGAGTCCGAAACAGATGGTTTTTAAACTATTTCCTGGGTGGGATAAGGGTAGGGTTGGTGGGATGGAGAGAGGTGGGAATGCGGAGGGGAATGGTGGCGGAAGTGCGGGGGATCAATTGAGGACGCTAGAGAGTGCGGAAAAAATTGGGAGGGCAGGAGATCAATTGAGGACAATGGAGAGTGTTGGTGGATTGGACAAGGAAGAACAATTGAGGGCTCTAGAGCTTGGACATGCGCCAATTGAGCGGGAAGTGGGTGGTGAAGAGTCGCGAGTAGATGAGTATGATCCGGACATGACTCTCGATGCGATTGAGGTGCAAGACGAGATTGGGCCACAAGCAAAGAAACACAGGATTGCTGTGTATGTGGACGGCCTCGAAAATGTGGAGGATGCGGAAAATGGGACACATGTGGATAACGACGAAGAATACGCTGAGAATGAGGATCCTGAAGACAATCCAAGGGACGCTATAAGAAGTGAGTCTGCAATAGAACTTAATTCGTCCAATTACTGACTCGTTAATTCAGGACACACAAAAGCATACGCTGAGGTATAAGTCCCGCCTAAACCACATAAGAATGCCAACTGACATATTTAGATGACACGAGGGGCTGCCCCTATCCCACCGAGTCCTGAGTGGCACTTAGTAGATACCCCGAGCCGGAAACGAAAAAGACTAGACATAGCTGCGAGTGATGCTTCGACTGGCAATGAACCCATAAGCCCGCATAAATACCCAAACTCTACACCTCGCAGACTTGCAAAGCGATTATGTACACCTATACTCGAAAGCCGCAGGCGCTCTGCCCCTACTGATTACCAGAGAAGTCCCTTGAAACCATTAGACCCGAATAGGATGCGGGCTTTGGATAATTCACCAAGTCTAAATCTGAAGCAGGAGAAATTAGTAGGCCCCGCCAATATTCTTGAGCTTACCATTATCTAATTATGACAGAATTCAGCACCGGCATGGGTTCTTGCCGGGCTCGATGGGCTTCGTTCAAAGTACCCCGGTGATTGGTTCGATGCGGATATCAAGGGGATCCATTGCCTGGATTGTGACAAGAGATACAAGGTCGCTCAGAATCAATCAGTCAGCAATTTTGAGATCCACCTAAAGTCTAGGTCACATAGATTGACTGCCGACGCGCGACTAGAAAAGCAGCGTCAAGCGGATACCTTCATACCGACGTCAAAAACAATCGACTTCGAAATGCCAAGTGACCCGACCATGGTCTTTGCGCAAAGGGGATTTTCTAATTTAGTACATGCTAGCAAACAATATTTCGCGGAATTGGAGCGGGAAGCCACTTCCAGCAATATCTGGATGATCTCTACGCGGACCAGATTAGCTAATTTAGAGACGAATCAGACTAGTCACACCGATCAGCTTTCTCAGATGCTTCAACTTACCAGGAAAGTGGATGGAAAGTATCAAGCTGTATTTGACGCCAACGCGTCATTGAGAGAAGAACAGAAGAGCTACGTCACTCAATTAAAGAACCGTCTTTCGGAATCAGAGGAAGCTCAGCAGTATAAGAACCGCATTGCGGAAGAGCGGTTTGAAACGTTCGAGGAGAAGCAATCGAATCGTGTGATCAGCTTAGGATGCAAACTCAAAGACATCGAAGAACACAATCAGGACCAGCTCAAAGAGCTCACCAAACGGATAGCCAGAGCAGAAAGAAGGCAAAAGGAAGAGCTTGAGGAAGTCCGCCGCATAATCGCCGCGTCAGAGCAGGATAAAACGAAGCAAATAGATGATATTCTCGAGCAGAACAAGAAGCAAATGAACCAAATGACGGAACAGAATACCCACCACCTAGATCAGATTTCCGAAAAGCTCGATAACATGCAGACTCTCACACAAACGCAAGAAAGCACAATCACCGATCTTGAAGCCCAAGTCCAAGTTCACGGCGAAGAACACAAATGTCATCGAGAAAACGAGGAGATTCTGCAGCGAAACTTTGGTGATCAAATGATTATCCATTTCGAGCAAACAGAATCCCGCATGAAGGCTATCGAGCAGTCCAGCGAGGAACGGCTAGAGTGCTTTGAAAGGAAATTGTTGGAACGGATGCGTACTGCAGATAAGCAGAAATCAGAACGTATTCGCTCCCTAGAGAAGGCAAATGGCGAGCTGAGGTTTAAAATTGCAAAGTTTGAAAATGTGATGCCTGCTCTATTTAAGGAACTGAAGGAGTTAGGTGAAGCTGTAAATTCTACCGAAGAATCAGAAGAAGAATTAGAAGAGGTTGAGCCCGCGGTCGAGGCTTCTTGATCATCTTGTTCTCGTCCACACCTGCAGCTCATGGATGTTGAGGTCGGCGTCGAATACCGCTTACTGTTATCGAAGAGGTCATGCGTACATTACCCTAAAAGCATTTGGGTTGTGCAGTGGCTGGTGAGCATGAGCGAGTGCATTATGTGACATGGGGAATTGCGTATGTTCCGGGAACGCTCACAGCTTCAACGGATTGCAGTACATATGGGAATCAAAATATCAAGCAAGAAACGTAAATTCATTGCCTCATATCCAACGGTGATTCACCCCTTTTCTCTCGCCAAAAGTTGGTGCTGCGAATCAACTCTTCACACCCCTCAAAGAGACCCTTATACTTCTTCGCAAACTCCTGATCTACTTCCCAACTCGACTGGAGCCATGGATCACCCCAAACGATGAGTCCCGTTCTTCTACTATGATCAATTTCCGCGCAGTCTCCCTGGTCCACACCCCGACGTTCGCCAGATCGGTCATCCACGCCAAACGCTATGTCCTGACAAAGCTCCATATCGTCCAAGACATCGATAGCTGCGATCATATTATCCCTAATCCTGGGGAACGGAAAGATGTCTATTTCCGGGTGATGCGGCACCGTAAGCTGCATCTCCGTAGGTCTGAGACTTGGCGGTAGTTCGGATATCGACAAGCTTGATGCAGTGGAGTGGAACGGCGATTCGATGTCCAGATGCATGTCATCGGGATCCACGCCGAGCAGCAACGTTATCCGTGTCAGCGCACGGACGAGATTGAAATGCATGAGTGTAAGGAGCTTGTGATCCAGAGATAGGGTTGTCTTTGGATGCAGGAACGACGCGAAATCACTGGCGCTGATTACCCATTTGCGCTTCCGTGGCTCCATGCAGATATTCGAGCCGCGGCCGCTTCGTTGGATTAGGGTTACTTCCATTGATATATCATATCCTTCTTCCATTTCTCCAGTGGCGGCCGATTCTTGTGGCCGTGCTTGTGCTCGTCGTCGTTCTGGCGAATCGTTAGTTTCCTGGTATGCACTTTGCAGCAATAGAATCTCACTAGCTCTCTGGTTCAATCTATTCTGCAGCTTTCGCCGCATTGCCGTACTTGTTATCCCCGTCCAATCTTCTTCTCTCGCGTGTATTTCTGGTCGATCTAGCATTGGACGTACTACTATCCCTGCTGGGTTGACGAACTTCTGTAGACTCATTCTGGTATCCATCTGCAGGTTACTATTTGGTTTTGCGTGGGGTCGGAAGGAAAGATGGAAGGAAAAAAATAAAGTAGGGAGGAAAGATGTAACATGCTGACATCGGAGCTTCTATTATGGTCTTCATCATCTGTTGGGACGTGCAGATGAGGTCAGCTTAACGCCGGGGCCTGGGAGATCTGGTGGATCGTTGTTCTCGCTTATGCAGCATGCTGACCCGCGCTAGCGGAAAGGGGGTTTGGCGGGGCGGTTAGTCCCTGTCGGTCAAGGATGTCATATGAGATGGTACTTATTCATGCCATCTACTTATGAATATCGTCTACATCTTCGTATCATGTACATCCTCATATAATCTATATCGTCATAATCATTTAATCATGATCTCTCATCAAACCCTCCGCCTCTTGCAATCCCTCATCACGGTCATCCAGCTCTTCCTCCCCAGCACCGTTCTTTATAATGCCCGCCATACGCACAGCATCAGCCTGTCCCTTCTCCGCATCTACCATCCATATCAAGGGTCCAGGGAGAGCAATCAGCACTGCCAAAAACAAAAACGCAGGCCGAATCGTCCCCGTAGCATCAACAATCCTCCCTACAATCGCCGGGCCGACAGCAGAACTCCCTTTGTCCGTGATAGCGTAGAGCGCATAGAAAGCTGCCTCACTGCCGGGTGGTATCAACAGCCCAAAGAAAGAGCGGCAATAGGAAGACAAGCCCCCCATCACAAAGCCATGTATAAAGCCAAGCGGATAGATCTCCCAAGCTTTTTGCAGCCCACCAACACCCCATGATTTAACGAAAGGAATGAAGCCCAGGAGGCCATACAGCGGGATAATCTCCATCAGCGCTATGCAAGCCACGATCGTTCGGTTCGTCTTCAGCGCATACCGACGCGAGATCACTGGCCATACGAAAGCGCCGGCGATACCTGAAGAGGTGACGGTGATGGAGAGAAGTGCAATAGCCACAGTTCCCATTTTCAGCTCCGTGCGCGCGAACAAGATAGCTGTTCCCGATACAGTAGCTATTGCATCGGAGAGCAGAAACCAAGCGATGAGGAAGATGACGGCTTGTTTTAGCTTCAGCGCAACCTTTATAGTTTTCCAGATGGAGTTGCATGCAAAAGAGATGTATGCTAGACATGAACGAAGTTTTGACGTTCCTGAGATTCCGGTCCTGACAGGTGGGCCGGGACGGTCACGGAGCCAGAGAGAGGATGGGATTGTGAAGGCGAACCACCAGGCGCCGGCGAGGAAGAGGACAAGACGTAGAGGGAGTGTGGATGAGACAGAGGTTTTGGACATGAGGAACAGGAGGAGGATGCTGAGGATTTGAACGAATACTGCGGCCATGTAGCCGATTCCTACCCCTTTGGATGATATTTTTGTGGCGAGCTTTAAGGCCGAGGAATCTGATTTCTTGGCTCCGAAGCTGTGATTAGATGATTCCTCGTAAGGTGGAGGGAGATCATCCATGAGGACTGATGAGGAGTCTCGATTTGGAGCCATATTTGCCACAAGTAATGGTAGAAATGAGTTGAGGATGACAAAGGAGGAGCCTAGGCAGGTTACTCCTATGATGACCAAAATGGACCCAACTAGGAATAGTTTGGGAATAACGAGGAGGAACAGCATCGAGGAAGTGGCACCTGTGAAGCCGAAGCCTAACAATAGTTTCTTGCGGTAGTTTCCTGAATTTGTCAGCTTTGTAAATTTTTCAAAGTGAGTGAGTGAGTGAGTGATTAACTCACCATGATCCGCAACCGAGCTGAAGAAAATTAAAGCTAATGCCTGCACAAGCACAGCCAGAGAAAAAGTGTACATTGCAAAACTAGACGTTGTGATCTCAGCTCCTAGGACATTAACCACGCACTGGTTATTATCCTCTTCAGCAGCTCTAGAAAGTAAACGCGCCCCGGTCTCAGCAGCTTTCTTCGCCATACATGATGTCGTCTTATCCGACCACAAGACACCCCGCTCTCGAGCCAATTGCTCAAGTGTCACGGGGAGGAAGGATCCTAGGAGAGCTTTCAGCTGATGCTATTTGCCTTGAGATGTAGAAGAACTTACCGACACCACAGACGGCGAATACCTCGGCTGCGACGCCGTAGGCATAGAATCCCTTTAATTCCTGGCTGCTTGTGGACGAGACGTCTTCGCCGGCATATCGCGGACGACGCTGCGATTGCGCAGCTTCTCCATCTTCCATCTGTTGGAATCGTTCACTCTAACTTTCAGGCTTTTATAAATGTTGTTTCTAATGATACTGGGCTTTATTTGAGGCTGAGTTTGTGAAGTATCTTGTTTTAAGCCGCGTGTCTTGGTGCTTCGGAACACCGGCAATTATGTCATCACGTGAGCCAAAAACCATACTTCTGGAAATGAACATCTTATATTTGTCTAGAGCTATCCACCTTTATGCTAGTATATATAATATAGTGCCATATATAGTAGAAGTAAATGAAGTCGGCTGAGCTGAGTTTACTTTAAGGTAATACGCGGGGTTAAGCGAGTCTAAGGCTAGATTGATTTATTGATAAGAAGAAGATCTCAGTTTTAGTGATAAGCTTTTCAAAGATGGAGAATTATAGATGCTAGAACAAATTCAGGCTGGGAAAAGCTTATCTTCTAGAATGGGAAAGAGGAGGGATAACAAACGGAGCAGTGTCACGTGAGCGGTCGAGACGAAATCCGTGCACGTCCACTCGAAAGGTTTCCAAGGCTTCTCTGTCAACAACAACCAGCTTTCGCCAAATGCTTTCGTAAGTATTTATAAAGCATATCTATAAAGCATTGAAATAGAGATCCTGTATTGCTTGCAGTTTTGATATATCTTCCCGATAAGGCATCCCGACTATCGGCGACGCTACGTCACCCCGCTAGTTTTTCGTGATTTCACTCGTTCACCGTAGCTTCAGTTTCAATCACCTGCAAGGCACTAACCCCATGTTTGTATGTCAAGCGACTATGAGGGGAACCTGGGGGATGTGGGGTGGGGCTTCGCGGTGGACACAAAGCGGCACTGTTTATTATATCACGCGCCGCCTGGCGCATTGTAGATTTGGTGCTGCTTTTCCTTTCTACTGCTGCGAGAGGGTCACAGTCGTCCGTAACCACCACAAAACATGCAGATGAACATGCTAGAGGAACTTGCCTTTCCTTACTCTATCCTCGGGTATAACTCGTTGGGGGAAAGTGGGGGAAGGGGGTGAGAGGATATATAAAGCCCAGTTGGTTTCCTAGAACCAGTATTTTCTTCTCGATTTTAGGGACATCTGTCTTAAATGTGTTCGGCGAGTTTGAAAGTTTCATTGTTTTACTCGGATTTCCATAGATGGCTTCTCCAATGGACCTCCACGCGGCTTCGGTTGAGGAAGTTCTCGAGCAAAGACCGAAGAAAAGTACTTATAGAACTGTGGTTGCAAACCCGTATCTGTTTGGCGTAGCGTTGGTAAGTCGTGATTGCATTCCTACTCACTCTTTCTATACCACAGTAGAGGCTTACGCTACAAATGATAGTTCTCGTCACTTGGAGGGTTCCTTTTTGGTTATGGTAGGTTACCGGACAGAACATCCCTTTCATTCAGCCCGCCTGTTTCTAGAGCTCCCTGGGATTCCTAACACATTCTGATCAGTTCGGCACATTCATTTTTTCTTTACTCCTAAATATCCTCAAAAGATAAATTGCTAACTACCGATTATCAACAGATCAAGGAGTGGTTTCTGGTATTTTGACAATGCAGTCATTCGGGGTTGCTTTTCCAAGAATTTATCTGGATAGTGGCTTTAAAGGATGGTTTGTTTCAACCTTGCTTCTAGGTATGATATACGCTCCCGTTTTGACTGCAATAGCAAGAATTAACGTATTAAAGCTGCCTGGTTCGGATCTCTTGTGAATGGCCCCCTAGCAGATCGATACGGACGGAAGAAGTCAATCATGGCAGCAGTCGTCATATTTACAATTGGTTCAGCCATACAAGCAGGCGCAGTCAATGTGCCAATGATCTTCGCTGGTAGAGCAATCGTCGGTCTAGCCATCGGTGTCCTGACTATGGTCGTTCCTCTATACATGGCCGAAGTATCTCTGCCTGAAATCAGAGGTGCGATTGTGGTTCTCCAACAGCTCGCCATCACACTTGGGATCTTGTTCAGCTTCTGGATCGACTACGGGACGAACTATATTGGTGGCACTCGATGCGCTCCAGATATTCCGTACACTGGCGGAACAGCTGCAAGCCCAAAATTTGACCCCCGAACAGACGTCGGCTCAGGAGGTTGCACAGGACAGAGCGATGCTTCATGGCGGCTCCCTTTCTCCTTGCAGATTCTCCCGGGTCTACTGTTAGGTATCGGGATGTTTTTCTTCCCCGAATCGCCCCGCTGGCTGGTGAAACAAGATCGTGATGACGAAGCCATCGTTACGCTCGCCAAACTCCGACGCCAGCCTCCAGATGACCCGGTTCTGCTTGCAGAATACGTCGAGATCAGAGCCGAAGCTGCGTTCGAGCAACAGATCATCAGAGAGCAATATCCGGGCGTTTCGGAACTTCGACTCCATATGTTACAGTACGCTGGGCTTCTGACCAACAAGTCGAGCTTCAGACGACTGGCTATTGGCTGTTGTATCATGTTCTTCCAACAATTCATGGGATGCAACGCAATGATATATTACGCGCCAACTATATTTTCCCAGCTCGGACTAAGCGGAAACACGACATCACTCCTCGCAACAGGCGTATACGGCATAATCAACAGTCTCAGCACGCTCCCGGCACTCTTCCTAATCGACAAAGTAGGCCGCCGCCCGCTCCTTATGGCCGGCGCACTCGGCGACACCATCTCGCTCGTCATCGTGGGCGCCATCATCGGGAAATACGGCTCGACGCTCGTGTCGCACAAAGCAGCTGGCTGGGTCGGCATAGCCTTCATCTACATCTACGACATCAACTTCAGCTATTCCTTCGCGCCCATCGGCTGGGTTCTGCCGTCGGAGATGTTCAACCTCGCGATCCGGGCCAAGGCCATGTCCATCACGACATCGACGACGTGGATGTGCAATTTCATCATCGGGCTCGTCACGCCGGATATGCTGGAGTCCATTACGTGGGGCACGTATATCTTCTTTGCGGCGTTTTCGCTGCTGGCCGCAGGCTTTACGTATTTCTGCGTGCCCGAGACGAGGGGCAAGACGTTGGAGGATATGGATGCGGTGTTTGGGGATACGGCCGCGCATGAGGAGAAGAAGAGGATACGGCTGCTGGAGGCACAGCTGACGGGTCAGAGTATTAGCGTGGTGGAAAAGGAGAAGGCGATTCTGGAGGAACACGTCGATAGAGCTGATGAGAACGTCTAGTGTTTATAGCTGTAAATGTGTGCTCAATAATGACACGGTCCGGGTAATAAATTTTGTTTTCAAACTAAAACCTCAGATCAGGTGTTATGCCTGATCCTATGATATCGAAAAATGCTGTTATCCTGAGATGTAACTTTTAGCGCCGTGAAATCCCCTTGGTTCGTGTCGGAAATCCAAACCCAGCATATGCCGTATTATAATGCAGTATCCATATCTCTCGCGCCCAGTTCCCGTAAAGTCTCCACGATGCCAGGCACTCGTGACCTCCCCGCATAATATAAGTTCGACCTCCCCCCTTTCCCGGTCGTCCACTCCTTTTTTATAGGACTCACCCCAGCATGGATGAGCAAACGCGCAATGGCAGAATTGCCACGGCGACAAGCCGACGTCAACGCACACGAACCTTGGCTTTCCACGCTGCCTTGGACCCTCGCAGTGACATCTGCACCTCTGCGCAGCAGAAACTTGACCATTTTATAATCTCCGCACGACGCAGCACTCATGAGCGCGCTTCCGCGGTGTCTCCAGTGGTTCGGCCGCGGTGCGACGTGGTTGATGTCTGCACCGTGGTCGAGGAGGAATTTTACGACGTCGTTACGCCTGTCCCGCGCAGCTAGCACGAAGGCATTGTGATACCGGTCGCTGGAGGGATCGCTACCCCTCTCGACCAGTAGCCTGACCACATGTAAGCGGCCGGCAGCAGCAGCGTTCTCTATGGCGTTCCTCGTGAAAGCTGTCCTGTTTTCCCTTGTTCCTACACCGTCGATATCCGCGCCCAAATCTAACATCCTGACGACCGTTTCCTCGTCTCCGCACGCCGCGGCTATGAGTAAGACCTCTTCCATAGCAACGAATGGTTCAACTGGCCCTACAAGTAGTTCATGCAGATCAGTTCTCTTCTCTAGGAACAGGTCTATCAGACTTGCGTGTCCCCCTTTCAGCGCTTGTCGAACAGCAGAATCTAGCTGAGGAACTGGGCATGGATGTATCGGTAGTCGGGGATCGTGTTTCAGGAACACCTTTACAACCTCTGAATGTCCAGCAAAGCAAGCTGCATCAAGGGGAGTGCTGCGAAACGTGTTGTTACAAAAAGCCTTAACCTTTTTGTTCATAAGCCAATTCACCATTTCCAGTATCCCTAACCGGGATGATGAATGGATAGCCGTCGTGAAGTATTCACTACTGGCATCAATGAACGCCCCACTGGCAATTGCTCTTTCGAGAAGCCTGACGTCGCCTAGAGAGGCAGCGAGAGATACTAGTCCCTGCAACACATCGAAGTTGACGCCGTTGAAAAGGGGGGTTGGATCTTTAGGTACCGAGCCCTTATCTACGAGGAATCCGTCCTGAAAAGGTTTCCAATTATTTTTGTCGTTTATTCTCTGCCCCTCAAGGCACTTTTTATCTTCGGGATCATCAAGTCGCAGTACCGTCCCTGCCGGCACACGTTCCGCCACCGATTCGATCAAGAGAATTCTGGCTTCATGCCGTAGTGTTTGGGATTTCGAGTCGGATTCCAGTTGAAAGTGTTCGAATCGGTCAAGTATCTCATCGATCACCTGACCGAGATAGCTTTCGCGGCCATAGACAGTCTCCAACTTGATGAACAAGAACCTGGTGAGCAAGGAGCCGGGAATTTGGCATTTTCGACAGCGGCCTTCAAGAATGTGCTTCCTGTCGATGAGACCACGTTTGAACAGAGTGAAGACAACTAGATTATCGAACGATTCTATGGGATATTAGTGAGTTTCGAAAAGTGAGTCCGATTTTAGGAGGGATATACTATTGACGAGTCTTAAATTTGTCGTCGCTCTCATTTTCTCCGCAAAAACCATTTGCGCAATTATCTCCTGGAACAATTCACCCGGAAGGTTCATCAATGTCAGCCTTGATGAGCGTGGGACATGATGTTCTTGTTCAGCTTCATATGCATGTTCTGGTGTCGTGGGGTCTTGCTCTGTGGAGATGCCAAGGCGTTTGGCCATACTGTGCGAGATGCTATATAGGTATTCGATAAGACTCTGAGGGATATGGATACCGAGTGAATACGTGTAGATGGCGAGGAATAATAATCCATAAAGGGTGGTTAGAGGCTCGAGAGACATGGCGGGGAAACCCTACCCTTTTATGTCCTACGTAAGCGCGGGGTGAGTCAAGTCGAGTCAAGTCGGTCACATGCAGATGGATCGGGATCTTGATTAGATTAGCCTTGCATGTTGCACCTCTTGCATTAGCGCTAGGAAATGTTTTGAATCTGTCCTGGAGGTTGGCAAATGAATATTTAAAGAGAATCCTTTTTTTGAGTATTGTATGCCATAGTGTTGTATGATGTGAGTAGTGAGTGTGAGTAATGTGGTGTGGTGTGGTGTGATGTCAAGGTACTAAGTTAAGGTAGCTCCACTAGACCAACCATATCAGAACGGGAGCCAAATTCCACGACCACTTAGAAGCTAGTATATCATCAATAAGTAACTTCGTTTCCAAATGATTGCAGTATTATTTAACCTTAAATGCGCAAGGTTGATCGAAAGGTAGGAAAGAGCATGGCCTTCCCTTCACACTGGACGGCTACCTTGGCGGCCGAAGCCAAAATACACTATTGCCATTGCTTGTTTTTCGCGCATGAGATTCAGAGCCGAATCGGCAACGAGGGATATATCATGTGGCATCCTCGATGGACGTCAAAATGGACAGATCCATCTTTAAAGATTGATTATAACACCGCTTAACTGAAATCCCTGGTGAAATTAGCACAACGCTTTACTCCTGAAGGGAATTGCATACTCTTCACCACTCTAAGGCACCCGACAGACCTGCGACGGTTATCGTTTTCCTTACGATGCGATGTCCCGACATATTTCGGGCGGCAGACCCATCAATGCCATATTTGGAGCTCTTCAGAATGACTATATCTGTTCATAAAGCTCGTCTTGCGTGGATGGAATCATTGGTGAAAGGCGTGTATTAATTTAGGGAATCCGGATCCGAGATTTGGACGTTTGGGTGTCGTATAGATAGAACGTACCCATGCTTTGAACTTTGCATTTTAGGAGAGATACGAGGGTTGAATAGCAGTAGCTAAGCTCTGGACGAAGTTGTAATGATCGTTTTAAGCCGTGAGAAGGAACGATCAAGTTGAGAAAATCAGAAGTGATTGATCGGGCCCACTCTCCAAAATAGTCAGATCATATGACGACTCAGGGTAAGTAATCATCTACTTACTGCCACCCGCTTTACCATTTCTGATATGTGGAGATTATATCATAGACGGTGCAGTTTATTTTATTCGCGATTTGGTCTGCGGTAGGTTACTGTCCTGGTGATGTCTACCTCCCTTCACTAGCTCTTTACTTCGTAGGCACGAATACTTAGCATTATTTTAAATACAAGCTTATGCCGTAAGTGGAGTCTAAGAACATATTAGGTATACCTAGATAGGTGTGATATACAACGGAAGGATTAGATTAATATAAATAGTTCTCCTAGAATATATTTTTTAACCGATAGGAATTTCAAGCGACTTATACACATGATGTCATGCTATATATTTTCTGATCAAAAAGCGCCGCGTGTCTGAGGAGACAAGCGGACTATGTGTTGAATGTGTATCTATTGAAAGTAGGGTCATGAGTTTTGAGGACTTTGAATTAAAATATCATCTCCGAAACCCCTTTTCTAAAAGTAGAACACGCAATCATTGTCTTCTAGTGTTATTTATGAGGAGCTGAAGGAATCCCTCTAAAGTGCGCCACAAGATCCGCGGGGCCGGATACACCAGACGAAAAGGGGTTTAGACTAGGCTGTCACAAACTCCTTTGGGATTGATCTCCAATATATAGCCCACTTAAAACCAAGGTAGTACGTTTCAGAAAGTCTCTAGATCTCTAACTTTTAACCAAAAATTTCCACAATCACTAATCATATGGGGCAATTTCTAGGATCTACGTACTATACAACGTAAGTAATTTATATCGGATGATCAGCGATGCGTGATTGGAAAGGTAATGCCTATGATTTACAAACGCCCGATACGGGTTACTGGATTGGTGTAGCCGGTGCGGCTGCTATAATTAGAGTAATTACATGATAAGTATTCTTGATAATCCTTCTAGTCAGATCTCCATTCTGTTGCTTCTTCACTCTCTGCTGTTCTACAACGCTCTTTTTCTTTGTCCCTCTATTTCAAATTATCCCAAGAGCATGCACGATGATCTTACAGCGGTCAAGGTTTCGGATCTACCAAATCATTGGGGTTGTTCTTTTATTGCAATACTTTCTGTTTTTCCATGGATCTAATTTCACTTCTTTCAGCCGTTATTACAGCACAGCAAGCCCGGATTCAAAGCCAGTCGTGACAGTCACAGCAAGTCTAGTTCAGTATGTACCGAGTCCGGAGACAAAGATCCATGACTTGGAAACCCCGCAGACAGCAAGTGCGGGGGAAATGAACACACCTACAACGAGCACAGAAGCACCAAAGGCAGACTCAACAAGTTTACCGCCGTGCCCCCCAGGAATGCAAAACGTAGTAATAGGCGTTAAAACCGGCGCCTCAGAAGCAGAATCGAAAATCCCCGCACTAATGACCACCTCACTGCGCTGCGCCCAACACGTACTTCTGTTCTCCGACCTCGAGCAAGACATCGGACCGTACCATCTCCACGACTCTCTAGATGCCGTCTCGCCGTCCATCATAGACAATAACCGGGACTTCGACCTATATTTCAAGCAGAAGGAACTCTGGGAGACGAAGAAAGACATCAGCGAGCTGGAGGGGATCAAACACCCCGAGGACCCCGGCATACTCGCTGCGTGGACGCTGGATAAATATAAGTTCGTGCACATGCTCGAGAAGATGTGGGTGATGAAGCCGGATATGGATTGGTATGTGCAGATTGATGGGGACACATACGTGGTGATGGAGAATCTGCTCTTATGGTTGGAAACCCTGGACCCGACGAAGAAGTCTTACATTGGCAGCGAGGTTTTAATTGCGGATTATTCGTTTGCACATGGCGGGTCAGGTGCGCTGATATCAAATGCTCTGATGTCCGAGCTCGCACATACGAATGGCACGGCTGCGCGCTGGGATGTTAGGGCAAAGAAGGAGTGTTGTGGTGATCTTATACTTAGTTTCGCGTTGGGAGACTTTGGGACTGGAATTCAGAATGTTATGCCGGTCATTAATGGGGAGAGACCTGGGACTGTGCCTTTTGGCCCGCCGAATGACTACTGGTGTAAGCCGGCAGTGACGTTTCATCATGTTACAGCAGAAGATACTGCGTTTCTTGCTGATATCGAAATGAAGCGTCGGCGACTGAATAAACCAGTGAGTGTTTGATAGCATTTGTGTACGGAGCGTTTGGGCTTACCATTTTAACAGGGCCCTTTGACGTACACGGAGCTCTTTTACGACCACGTAATTCCTTCACTACCCCCATATCGGGACAACTGGGACAACCAGGCGCTGGACCAGTGGATTGGTGGCAGGGAGGTGAACGCTGACTCGTTCGACGAGTGCGCACAGCTCTGCTATGCCGATGAAGAATGTCTGCAATACACGCACCACGGTAATATGTGCAGAATCGCAAAGTTTGTCCGGTTCGGCATCGAGAGGAAAGCTGATGAGGGCGGAATGTGGAGAAGCGGATGGCACAGGGATAGGCTTGCCGATTGGGCCTCGAGACAACCAGATTGTGGCCAGGTCGCATTTCCAGAGCAGAGATACATCGCCTACCCTGAGAAAGTCGATCCTTGAGAGTGCGCAGTCAAACATCGAATTCGTGAGCCATCGCATATCTGACATCGGCAATCGAGTCTAGCGTTCATCCGTATACCTCTCAGCTATTGAGAAAGGCATGACCCAAGCCGCGCTTGGGACGCCGAAGCAGACCCAGCTGCTTCTCCACAGCTATCTCTCAAGCATGAATCATACAATGCTACATGAAAACGACTGGCAAAGTGTGGAGAGCGAAATTAGTGGCGACTGCCGTAGAGGAACGATGTGATATGATATTCACATCGTTAGAGCAGGTAGAAATTGCGGCGGAGGTGTGAAGAAGTAGAAATTGAAAGGGATGGGAGATGGCAAGCCGCCAAGTCATCTGTATCAACCGCCTAATACCCCACTTGTATGCAGTATCTTGTTTCACAAAAAGCTGGAACACCTTCAGAGATGGCATCGTGTCAAATGGCGAGGATGAATATCAAACAATAAGTAAATATGACTTGATACGTTTCTGCGAAAGGACTCAGCTGAGTATAACATGACAGCCCCGAGCAGTAACATACCTTTGTTGGGGTTTGAAAACTAAGAGGGTTTTTCTGCTCTTGGATTTTTGCTTATCTTGTGGCTTTTGCTCGAGATGGAATGGACGCAGTTGAGAAAAATAGCGATAAGTTGCAGTTGATGTGTAAAGAAGGTCAATTTACTCTGAAGAAAGCGGAATCCTCAGAGATATGGTATAAAGGCTACTAGGCTCTGTATATTATGATCGAGCATGTCTATGTGTAGAGGCTTTCGCAAATCTTATAAAAATGTCGAATATAAAATACAATGAGCAAGGGAGGGTGTTGAAGTCGTTAAAGTAGACTTAGCCGCTTACGTCACACTTCACTCCACCGAGCATTCTTCAATATGTATGCCTCTATGATAGCCTTATCTTACTCCGTATCATTTGATTACCCGCCGTGACTTACAAATTCTGACAGAAGCTCAGGATTAATATATGTCATGTGATGTTGGTCACGCAATTTTACGGCTAACCCTTTCAGGCCGAACAACATTGAAATCCGAGACTCCGAACCCCTCATCTCGCACATGGAATCGGAATAATCTAGATCTTCACCCAAATTCCCATGTCCATGTCCATGTTCCTGCCCCTCAATCCTTCTTCGTCTCTCCGCACACCGCTACCCTGTTCAAAGCCAAGTGGAGATATATGCGATGTAGACATTCAACCGGGGGTTTCTAATTCGACATATTGACAGCGCGGGGTAAAGGTAAGCTCGTAACGTCTTCCTATTCGCACACTTTAATTATGATGTTGATTTCGGGAACATTTCCTGCGGAATACTCCTTGTCGATTTTGTATTTGCAGAATATGCAGTAGTATAAAAGTTAGGTTCTGCTCATTACTTTCAGTTGCCCTTTCTCTTCTGCTCTTCGTCTATTATTTTACCTAATTGCTCCGCGAAGTGTCGTTGCGGGAAGTTTACGTCAAGAACCAGCATAATGCAGTTTCTAGCCATTGCGTTGCTTGCTGCGAGTGCAGTAGTTGTGGCGGATACTGAAAATGAGGGACATCATAGAGACTCGGGTTGGGTGAAGGACTTTAAGAATCTGGTTGCGTTTGGTGACAGGTGAGAAAGCTCTCCGTTCACGCAGAGATCATCGCTGAACTGCGATCTGCAGCTACACCGACGAGAGCAGACTTGCGTACTTTTACTCCCACAATGGCAGTGCCCCGCCACCAGGACTTCTCCTCCCAGAGAATAACTTCACATCCGGTGGAGGGATCACTTGGGATCGATGGGTCTCCAATTACACTGGTGCCAAGCTGTATGACTATGCGGTGTCTGGAGCAGTCTGCGATAATAACATCATTTACCGATATCTTGCTGGAATTCATGGTCCATTTCCAGATGTTGTCTACGAGGTTAATGCTTTCAAGGCGGATGTTGCATATATCAATGCCTCTACTGGCACTAACACACTATACACGGACCGAACAGCAGAAAACACGGTGTATTCGATGTGGATTGGGACCAACGACCTCGGACAGGGCGCGTTCATTACTGACAGTGAGGTGAACAATAGTACTATCCCGGACTACATTGACTGTATCTACGACCGCTTTGACTCCATCTACGCAGCTGGCGGGAGATATTTCGTCTTGATGAATACCGCTCCGTTACAGTTGTCGCCATTATACGGCTTGCCGGAAGATGGAGGACTTTCTACGAGTAGATATTGGCCCACCAAGGTAAAGCCGCAAAATAAAATCAAGACATGTCGGAACACTTGCTAACAACTCACCAGACATCGACCGGAGGTAATGCTACCGAAATATCATACAAGATGAAAGAATACACGCAACTCGTCAACACTGTCTTCGACTACCGCACACCATATGAACTCCTAGTCGCAAAACGGTACCCTGGTGCCTCGTTTGCTATCTTCGACACGAATGCATTTATTTCAGATATATACTACAACCCGGATAAGTACTTGACGCGCCGGCGAATGTCACGGGCCCGTATTGGAACTGTGATGCTGCTGGCACGTGCACGGGGAGTGATGTTGGGTTGGATCATTATCTGTGGTATGATGACTTGCATCCGTCGGAGAAGACGGATGAGGCTATCGCGCATGAGTTTGTGAGTGTTGTGGCGGGGACGAGTAAGTTTGCTACTTATTGGTAGAAGATTGGAATGAGGAAGATATGTATGTATCTGCTTACTCTCTTAATATATCTTATTGGGGGAATTTTAAAGGGGGGCATAAACGGGACCCATGCCGCCTAGCTAAGGCCCGAACTCTATTACTACTATACCGGAGTAAGTGTACTCGAGATACAATCCACAAGTAACTATCCAGGGGATTATTACTATACCGAAAAAGAGTTTCCATGCGTATTTCTTTCTGATACTAGACCGTGCGCCTGCTTTAGCATTTACTTTCCATACCAAGTCCTCCTGATATTCAATTCTTAGCCCAATCTCTGGATATAGGTTTCTAAGTGCGCACCCTTCTCCGTTTCTTCAAACTGCACCGAAAGTTGTTTAGCTGCCCTTTTCAATTTCCCAGTCTCGTCGGCAAGTCGCAGTCCGTCGCGCTGTTCATCGTCGAGCCCGTATACCATTGTCGCTAGTGCATTTGATTTCCATGATGGCAATCGCATACGTCGTGTGTTGAAAATTGAGAGTAACGTGAATAGGCTTCCCGAGAGGATTGCTACACATGGTCCGGCGATGAAACCCCAGCGCACGCGGGTATGGATGACCCATTGCTGCATTGTTCCTGCTACAGGTGTGCCTGCGCTGTTTCTTATCCAGTTTGTCATGCTCTGCGACACGCTGGAGAACGTTGCATTAAGGTCCTTTGATGACGCGAGGGATTGTATAACTGGTGGTTGGCCTGGGAATGACGTGTTTACCCCGTATTTGATCATGCTATCAGTGAAAAACGAGTCTATCCATAATACCATACTGCTGATCGCGGACTGTGAGATATTGAACTGCCGTGGCAAAGTCTCGGCGATGGAATTTTGAGCAACGTCCTCCGTGGTTATGTAAAGCTGGAGGTCCTCACGGTAGAGATCCCCGTCTATGAACAAGAGAGGGTAGCCTTCTTGAGCTGCCCAAGCCTTGGAAACGGTGTCGTTTAGATCTGAATAGCCAGGAGTTATCCTTGTTTGAAACGAGTCCATGTTCCTACGAGACCACGAGTCAACAACTTCTTCCACGACTTCGCCCTGGACCACGGAGGACAAGTAGAGTTTGGCACACATGTAAAGTGCGCATTCGGTCGCCGTTACTGGAGTATCCTCCCATATCGTTGTCCCATTTATATAAGAATTGCCAGCTTGCATGACGATTATTGAGGAAATCATGTTCAGGTTGTTTTGAAATGTCAAGGTCGCGCTGTGGTTGCTTTTCGCTATTGCAGCCAAAGTAATAGAATCCTCGACGAAATTTTGCCCTGACCCTTCCACCCCATCAAAGTTTGCGAAATCGATGCCCGGCAACGAATAGCTCGTGTATTCAGTTTCAAAGTCTTCAGTGCTCGTCTTTCCATGCGGTGCCCCCATCTTACGACTTTTATTAATATGCGCAGTAACGTCGTTGCATGTGCTGCAAACAGCAAGAGAAGTAAACAGAGGCCAAGTACAGTTCCCTGAACTGCAGCTAATTGAAGGGCGAGACTTCGCAGAAACAGATGAGTTGTCGAAGCCGTTAAATACGGCAGCTGACATTCCCATGTCCGGTTGAAAGGAAAAATCTGTCGCATCAATGGTAAGGTTGTACGGTGATGACAGCAGCGGAATGACCCTTATTCCACCTCCTGCGTTGTCTTGGTATAAACCTACGTCCAGACGGGTGGTATGTGGAACAGAAATATCAAGGCCATTGCTCACGTCATCCAAACTTCCGTCGTAGGTAATGATTGCCTGCAGAAACGGGTCGAATCCAATCAATATGATTGTCGTGATCGCACCGAGAGTGGCCAAGTGACTTCCCCAAAGAATTAGCACATAATTTCCAGGAGACGTCAAGCTACTCCTACCTGACTTTCAATGACCAAACCAGATGCATGCTACCCATTGGACCACGGCTGGCATCATCGAATATTTGGAATGCAAAGATATTATCGGCTCGCTTCCGGAACCAGTTCCATTTCTCTTGACCTATGCAAGAACTGACGGCGAATGCAATAGAAGAACGGGCAACGACTCCCAGAATCGAAACAAAAGTGTTCAAAGAGAAGAAAGCTTTCCAATCGCTTAACGGTTTGCCATTTTCGACGATCAGAAGAACAACGATGGCTATCAAAGCGGCTAAGCTGAGCATGACGGCACCGATTTCCATGGTCCATGAGACCCTTGCTGTTTTTGTACTCGTCTGATTTTTTTCGTCGATCTGGGTAGCAACCACTTTTGTAGCCTCGTGCGCAGCGTTATTTGGGGTTTCGTTTGTGATGTCGGTTGCGTTAAAAACATTATTGGGATTTGGAATGGGCTTTCGTAGAATCCGCAAGGGGGGTGCTGAGGTCTGGTTTACGCCTGATGATCTTCGTAAAGGAGATGTTCGATTCTTATCACTTTCATCGCTGATCTCGTTTTCCAAAGCCTCTCTCATCAAACTCTCATATTCTGGGCCTACTTGAGCTGGAGGAGATGATTCGATTGCATCGTGTTGCGGGTACTGCTGTTGTTGTTCTTCTCCACGACTACCATCAAATCTATCAATCTCCAGGCGATGATAGTCTGGCGAGTATCGAAGTGCCATGTTTGAGTGCTGTGTGACTCTTATGTATAAACTAGCTATTTATTTGAAAATGCGCATGGAAAAGTTATATATTGAAACGAAAAAGACAGGACTTCGAATTTAGGAGACATATTTGATAGATAATTGACTATATAATCAAGGCTGTGTACAATCACCTACGTAAAACCACCTACGTACAACCACCTAGTGCCTATACTCCGGACTAACCCTGCTTCGACGCAGTCAGCTTCTCATGCGCCATGGACCCCAAGGCCGACGGAAATGCTCTGATTCAAAGTGATGTGCTAAGGCTGTGCAGAAATTGTAACTATTCTTAGGTCGGTTTTTGATAGGTGATATGGGGGACGAAGACTCAACACCTGTACGTGGTGTCCCCTACGAACCTGTGGATAAGCTTTTGCTTGTCCCAAGGATTGAGTGGCATGGTGACCTCGCTATCGCGATATCGCCACGTTGGAATACAATCCTAGAGCTAAATTTGAGTCACGATAAGCGACCCTACAACTACCATAATAACGTCCGCGGCGCGCTAAAAGAAGATGGATCTCTAGGAGAACGCAGTCCCTGAGGTGACTGACTAAGGCGATTATATGCTACGAGCTATATGTGTTACTATAACTCCTGGCGGTATAGTCCTAACATAGAATAGCTATTATAATATAGTCTTCTATGCAGCAACCTAGGCCTTATCAAATCTTATAAGCATCTACGAATAGCGAATTATATGCGAGAGCGATACTATATATAGTTAAGCTAGGAGGTAAAGGGGGAGGACGTAGAAGTGCTTTAGTTTCTCTCCTCTTTAAGACCTGCGGCTCTTAAAGGACTTTCAGACCTATAGCATGCGGATAATTCCTATAGAGGCAACCTAAGAACGCTTTCCAACCTTGATTAGCATATAGTAGAAGGGAGGGCATATAGGAGGCTAGGAATAGGGGCTTTTATAAGGAGATCTAGCTTTCTAGGTGTGAATTTCACTCTACTTATAAAATCTGGTGGTCTATCCCGACTAGCGAGGAAGGTCACAGTTATACAGCCTTTAGGCTACGCATATGCAAGAACTGCTTTCTAGGGTTTATAAGAGCATTGAGACACCGCGGGATTAGGGACCCGGGACTATATATAAGAGGAGTCTTTTTTTCCTCTTATAGTTTTTAGGTCTTCTTATATATAGGACTTTATATGTAAAAATCCGTAGCTTAGCACGACCCTGTACCCCTAGGGAGGTCCGAGTCACTATGCTTCTAGGTCGTAAATCAATATCATTATTATTATTATTAATAGGTGATATAATATATGGAACACAGGAAGACCCTTCAGCTGAGACACCTATTGCTAGCCTTGTGCATAAAGTGTTTCTTTTCTTTGAATAGTAGTATATAGTCTTCGAGATACAATATAGTATCTCGTGTCATTAATGCGAGATTACAGTACGACTTAATCACTAACATTTAGACTCTCAACCCTTACACCCAGTACGTTATATACTCCATAAACCTTTACCTCCACTATAACATCCACACACATCCACATCTACGAAGTATGGGATCGGCATTACTCGGTATTCCTAAAAATCAATAATGGTGCCATGGGCGCATGTCGTGCATGAGGAGCAAGCATCTGGACACTTAACTTACTCTGTACAAAGCCTGGCGTGCCGGCTCGGTTCGCCTTTGCATGGTTTGTCAGCCAATGAAAAAAAGTGCCACCGAGTCTGCTCAACAGAGTATCCTCAAACGTTGGCCTGGTACGTACGCAACATCCTCGAAACTACTCCGTATCGCCGTTGGCCTCCTGCCACACGGTCCGCACCCCAGTCCAGTCCATCCCTGTTCCTTCTTCTGCACCGAGGAAACTGTTGGTGCTTGCACCTCGCTTCTCCACGACCACGACCGATCCATCCACCATCCCGCCCACCATTGCGACACACTTCACCCTGTTCCTGTCTCGTCCTCACTACTGTACTCTAATCGTACGTCCTAATACGGCACCGAGGCCATGCCCGTCGGCCTATCGCCATCGCCATCCCCACTGCTACATTTCTCATAAGCTTAAGCCATGTATGCACCCTCATATGGATATGGCCCTGGGAATCCAGCGCCCTTCAATCCCAATGGCGCTGCTCCCCATCTTAACCCCCACCATCACCAGCAGCAGCCCGGCCCCGGACAACAGCCTCAGCACATGATGTACAACCCACAGCAGCACCAGCAGCAACAGCAACATCAGCAGCAACACCACCATCAGCAGTATGCCGTGGGAGGAGGGCCGTCTCAGCAGTCATCGCCCTATGGCGCCGCGCCTGGTCCCGGCATGGGTGGAGATGCAGGTGGTATGGGGATGATGCCTAACAGCAGTATGACGCATATGGGTGGTGGTGGTATGTTGCACACAGCTTTCTTTTCCTCAGACGTCGACTTTACTCTGCATGTCTTAATCTACTACATACGGCTCTCGCACTTTTCCCCATCAGCGCTTGTTACTCGAGGAGACAGGCATCGGGAATAGCTAGCCCTGCTGTCCCGCATAACCTTAAGCAGTAGCCCGTCGAGAGTAATTTCGAGGAAGGATGGCTGGCCTCCCATCGTCATGTCTATGTCCCTTTTGATTGTTTCAAGCGGCTCGTAAACTATGTAGCAAACAATTGCTGACCTGCCCTTTATCAACAGTCCCTGCATATCAAACCCCATATTCTACCTCGCCCTACGGAGCAAGCATACCTACATCGTCAGCCTCCAATCTTCCCCCGAATTTCATGCCGACCTCGTCCGGCGCTCCATCGTTCCCAATGAACGCTCCGAATATGAATCAGCACCAGGTCCAGCGCATGCAACCACCTCCGAATTCCTCGACCCCCACAAGAGCTTCCCCTTTCGGCGGCGTCCCACTCGGCACTTCTCCAAATATACCGACACAGTCACAATTCTCTCCACCGCAAAGTCACAACCAAACACATCTACAAACGCCAAACAACAACCAGCAGTCCCAGGCAGGGACGATAATTACCCCGCAGACCCCAAACTTTCCTCCGGGGTCCCAAGGTGGGAATGCGGGCGGCAGTATAGCATCCCCGCTGAGTCCGGGGTCGGAGTTTAGGGAGAAGGAGAGGGTTACATTGTTGTTAGACATCAACCAGGTATTACTGATGGAGGCGGTAAGCCTACAAGCCAGCCAGGCAGAGGCAAAGAAAGAAGAAACGAAAGAGAATACCGGTTCACCTAACAGCGAGAAGGAAAAGGCGGATAAAGAAAAGGCAGATAGGTGGAAGGCGGCGAGTAGTAGGGAATATGTTGAGTGCGTAGCCCCTCTTGATTGTTTCGATATATGGTAAACTAACAGTGACAGATGCATGCGCCGTCTGCAATCAAATCTAGCCTATCTCGCTGCCATCGCCGACCGCTCCCATAAGCCATCCTCACAAATCCCTCCCCACCCCGCTATAATGACCGCCCCATCCATAACGTCCAAACCAGCCCTCAAATTCCCCTTTCCCGACGAGACCGAGACTAAAGAAGAAGATTCCGATGTGAAAAAGAAGGAGAACATGGAAGAACCAGATGAAGATAGGGCGGAAGTGCTGAAAGATCAGTACAAGAAACTGCAAGATTTATTTCCAGGCGTGGATTTCAAGAAAGATGCGCAAATGGCTGCAGCACGGCAACAGGCGGGCCAGAAACAAGCGGATCAGCAGAAAATGCAGAATGAGATGCTGAGGCAGAAGATGATGCAAGCGCAGCAACACCAACAGCAAATTCAGAATCGGTGATTGAGGGGCTAAGGGGGTTATGGGTATAGTTTTGTATGGTTGTATTGGGAGGGAGTTCTGGGTAAAACAGAAAATGTAGATAGGTTGGTTGATTGTTTGGTGTATGAGTTTCGCCTGACTTGACTCGGCTTGGCTTGGCTTGGCTAGGCGCTTTGCGTTGTTCGATATAATATCTGGATGTTAAGACGTGATGTTTATTTAGGAAATGAGAAATGAGATCCCTGAATCGGGATACTATAGCAAGCAATATCACTAACTTTCGATTTGAGGTATATGTTATTCTAGTGGATACCTTAAGGAGGTATATTCTAGCCCTTATTACTTACTACCAACCTAGGTATATAGTAAATGATAAAGTTCCGTGGCGGCTGTGTTGAGCTTTCGTACTTACTTCTTCTCGCTTTGAAACCCGGGTCCTATCTCGTCTTAGTTATAAGTAAATCTATGCAGCTTATTTGCTCATTCTATTTCTGGGAACTGTACTGTGGCACTGACTGACTTATCTTTCATTTCTCGACCCGTCTATCCACGAAACCTAGGATTTTCTTACAGCGAGACGTTGGGATAGAATTCTGGATAGTAGGATACTGGATAACAAGGGGTGGGGGGAGGGGAGGGTGGGAGTTAGCTTAGTTGTTGATATGTTCCTATGTTGACTTGATTCTTTAATTTTGATATTTAATCATAATCGAGTTTGAAACAAAAGTGGGTTTTGACTCAAACCTCGCTGTAGGTAGATTTTACTATAGTATGTATAATAGTAGGTTGATCTCGGGGATGTTGTAGGGTTTAGGGCTCGACTGCTTGATTGTTTAATATAGAAAAGGGGGATGTTGCGAATTGTGATATGATATTTCTTGGAGGATTCCTAAACATGGAGATAAATGTATGTTCTGGTCTTGGAAATGAGGAAGTGAAGAATGATGATGAGTTTGAAGGGGTGGTGTGAAAAGTGTGATATTAAAGCAAGGATATATGTATGTATGGACTGAGTTTTGAAATTATAAGAGCGTTGGCATTATTTAGTTGAAAGTTTCAGGGTGTATATATACCTATAAACTATTCCAAAGCTAATTCATGCTATGTCATATCAACTCCCAAATCGCCTCCCTCTCAACCTGCAACTCGTATATACGTCCCTCGTCTGTAGTTTTGATGGACTTGTACTGTATTCCCTGGCTTCGTGTAGTGTAGTCTCTTATACAGAGAACAAGTAGAGTTTCCGGGACTATGAGTTCCGGGTAGAGAGTTTGGCTCTTACTGCTTCATGTCCACGTGACTTCCCCTGTCTTCTCTTTTAGTTCTTATGGAATTACTAAAGAACACTGTTCCCAAAGGAAATGGCTGTTTGACTGTGACTCAACGATGGTCGTGGTCGTGATGCCTCGTCAGCATATGCAGCTCTCAAGATACCTTCTTTGTCTGCCTTATGACAGGATCACATGAAGATTTCTCAAAATGAAGTAAACAAACGGGAAAAGGGGAAGGGGAAAAGTAGGGAAGGAGAGAAGGAGAGAAGGAGAGAAAGAATAAGAGGATGCAAGGGTGTCTTTCACTGGTAAGATGGCATGATACCATTAAAAGGGTATATGGTGCTATATAGGATAGGTACGCGTAATAGAAGTCGATGTAATGTAGTCCTGCTTCATATTTCCAAGATTTTCCATGGTTGGACCAGTCTGTGCCACACATGTCATTATAAGTCGAGCCACAAGCCACAAGCCACAGCAAAAGCAGGAAAGAGTGTCGCGCGACTCTGTTTTTTCCGGGGCCGCTAAACTGCATACGGGACCTTCCCCCAATAAATGCCATGGCACAGCTCCAGACAGAGGATCCCAGAACCGAAAGCAAATCATCGTCAACGCACCATCATACCTCACCGCACAAGACAGCCAACACAAACCCTCATCTGTTCACACAGCTTTACAATCTCATCCTGCTGCTGTTTTGAACATCCATAGAGCTTCTTCTTGACCACACCTAAAACACCCAGCATCAACATCTGCTGAACCCCTTTCCACCAACATCACAACAAGCTTCCGAATTCCGTCATGTCTGATTCCACCCACAACGATACGGTGGTGCCCTCCATCGAGAGCAACACCAATGGTTCTTCTCTGGAGAACGCAAAGAACTCCGTCGTCAACAGTAAGGTATGTAGAGACTTGTCACTCGTGCCTGGACATTGCATGGCTAACAGAGCTCTTGAAACAGCAGATACCCAGCTTCAACGCTCCCCCTTTCCGCACAACTAACAAGCTCTTCTAGACGCCTCTGCTGCTGCCAACGCAGTTGCTAACCATCCTTTGACCCAAAGTGTTACCAACGGTGAGTTATCCAACCTTATCATCGGAAACCGAGATTGAGACAAACACTGACAATATTCCCGCAGGACCCGTGGCAGACAACGTCAAGGACCAGCACGCAAAGACCCAAGCCGAATTCTCCAACCTTGCTGCTGCCCGTACAACCCCGACAACACCTGCGGCTACTGGTCAGCAACTCACACACTACCATTCCTTTTTCTCAAGTCTGCTCTCATGGGAGAATCCCCGTGCTTCAGGCATTGCCTATGCCTCTGTCGTCCTGTTTATCTTCGCAGCCCGATACCTTGATATTCTCCGATATGCTTTCAAGGTTACATGGATGACTCTGGGTGTTACTGTTCTGGCTGAAATAGCCGGAAAAGCCCTGTTTTCCCACGGCTTCACTTCTCAACTCCGCCCCAGAAAGTACTACACAGTGTCAAAGTCGACTCTCAACTCTCTCATCGGTGATTTCCACGAGCTCATCAACTTCTTCGTCATTGAGTCTCAGCGTATTGTCTTTGCCGAGAATGTCTTTGCATCTGGAGCCGTACGCTATCCAACTCCTTTATCTGTATACTCTGCTTACCCTTCATAGGCCTTCCTCGGTGCCTTCATCTCTTACTTTTTGATCAAGTTTGTCCCATTCTGGGGTCTCTCTCTCATCTCTACCTCCGTTCTGTTCCTCGCACCTCTTATCTACAAGACGAACAAGGAGGTCATCGACCAATACCTCCACCAAGCTGCGGATATTGCCAACCAGCAAACCGAACAAGTCCGACAAATCGCCAGCCACCATGCAGCCCGCGCAACCGAGACTACCAAGCAATATGTCGGCGACTATTCCCACAAGGCACAAGAAATGATTGGCAACGCTCGTGGAAGATCTACCTCCCCTGTTCTATCTACCAAACCAGTCAAAACCGAACCTTTTGTAGCTAAGAATGAGAACACTCCAATAGTTAAAAGCGAGGATTTCCCAGCCGCACCGAAGGAGGAGTTCGTATCCGCTCCACCAGTTGGAGAGGTTGCCAATGCGTTGAGGAGCGAGAATGAGCCATTGCTTGCTATTTAATTGTCTACATGATGCTCTTCAGTCATGGAGTTCTCTGCACCTACAGTGCAGGAACATAATTACGACAAGGCAGTGCATACTTCTTTATGATGCTATCAGTGCCGGGAGGAGTTGAATACAGGGGCTATTGAAACGATCGACGACTACGGTACGAGGAATGATTCGATGCCGGAGCAAGGGTTTGGGCTTAGCATGACCTCATGAAACACTATTGTATTATGATTTGTGGCGATTACAAGAGTTTTTCCTATTGCGTTTTTCCTTCACTATCTGGCTAGACACCGTCAGAGCTTTTTGGTCTTGCGGAATTCTTAGGTCGACTATCTACTGCATCGCTTGCGTTGTCTTTTGAGTTATCGAAATTGTGGGGTGGTTGGTAGTATGGAAGTAGTATGGAAATAGAGGTGAATTAAATGGCGTCTTTATTTATAGCCTGCGGACCCCTTGACTCGGACCCCTTGACTCGTGATTTCTGACTCGGAAGAGCAAGACTTTGACACTATCTAGGTGGAGGTGAGCAGTGTTCATCTCGCACCTTGCAGTTATTGGAGCTACAGCATCGTGCCTGCCTGAAAGCCCTACGAACGTGCTATATATCCGTTAGACCGAGAAACGAGGTGTGCTGCATGCATTTCCATCTTCCTGCAACACAAATCAATCCTCAACCTGCAATTGGCAAGCGTATCTGCAAAGTAGACGAGGCTGTCACATAGCCACCGGTGCAACCACCACACCACACACCATGAAGGCAGTGCTTTGTGAACCTTGGGAAGGCTCGCCCCTACAACATCAACTTGAAGTTTCTTCTCCTTTTCAATCTTGAATGCAACAGAAGAGCACAGTCTTGTCCCAGCCATACAGTACAAATACAGTGCCTATCTACGATGGCAGAGCTCGGTGTCGCTGCCAGCGCCATTTCTATAGCCTCAATTGCGATCCAAGTTGGAGACAGCATTATCAAGCTCAAAGACTTCTGGAATCATGTCAAAGAGGCTCCAGAAGAGATCAAATGGCTGATTGAAGAGATCGAAACCCTCGGCTTTGTTCTCTCGGGGGTCGAATCAAGCAAGACTCATAGCGATCCGCCGCATCTTGAACCAGCGTTCGCAAACAGGTGCCTCGAGTCATGTCGCAAAGGAGCGAGTATCCTCGAAGCTGTGGTCAAGGAAGCGGATGAGGAGATTCGCAAACGGAGGAAGGTAGGCGGCGTGAAGGCTGTCCTGAAGAAAGGGACAATTGAAAGACTCAAGGAACGCTTGAGGAGTGCGCAGTTATGTTGATGCTCTCGAATCAAGCCTACTCTGAGTGCGTATCCCTATTTCTACTACACTTGTATCGATCGCTGACAACTTTGGGGGATACAGAGCACTCCACAAACAACGGCACGAATTACACCGAGAATGGGCAGAGCTTCAACAACGACAGCTTGATGAGCTCAGGACAAGTGTGACTCAGTCGACGGACGCGGTCTTATCTTTACACACGACGGTTGGCCAACAGGAAAAGCTTGCATCGCCATCACTATGCAACTCTAGACCTTCCCACGCAGCAACGACCTCCGATTCGTTGGAGCGCACGGCTACGGGAGTTCAGAAAGCGCAAAAGCGACAGCAAACTATCTTGGCTAGACTTCGTGGTCCTAGATGGATTCCCTTGATGAGTCGCGTTCTTGAAATCTCTGGCAGTAAAGCACCTTCTGGGTGGGACTTTTCGATACGTACTTACAATGTTGTGCCTCTAGACTCGCCAGTGATGCAATTTGCAAGGAGAGGCGAGCTCTCCAAGCTCCAGGGTCTTATTACAGAGGGAAAGGCCTCCCTATTAGACCGTAGTGAGTATGGTGAGACTTTGTTGAACGTAAGGACCTTTTTGTTTGTTTTGTCGTCTTATAACGATCGTATGTTCGAGACGAGCAAGCCTAATACTTCCCAGGCTGCAGTTGCGAACCAGAGACTCGAGGTTGTCAAATTTATACTTTGCCAAAGTTTCGACGATACTAACCACCGGTGGTTTTCTTCCTGGACACTGAAAAATTGCAACTAATTAAAATGAAGCGATCTATTTTTCGTGGGACTTCCCAGCTTTGGGAGCATGATCCCCAATGAGGATATTATGGAGCTCTTGCGATTGATCGCTCCTTTAACAGATTTTGACTATTTGGATCATCGCATTAGGCTTCGGTGCTTAACTGTTAACTTTTGGGGGGAAGCGTACTTACTTGCGTGGATTCTTCGCGAGTCAGGCTGCTCCTTCCGAAATCTGAGCATCCCAGAAAGAGTTAATTACAGTACAAATCTGCTACTTCCTGGTTACCGGACGCACTTTACGGTCAGAGTAAAGCAGCCGGATGCTGCTCGCTTAGTGAGGCTTGTCTTCGAGAACATGAAGCTTGATGCTACTGTATGCAAGACAACTGACTACAAAGGGCGGTCTCTTATTCACGCGATCGCCTGGAATTTTTTGGAAATTACAGAAGCACAGCTCGTCAGCAACCTGCATTGCAACGACTTTAGCGTCGCGTGCGATCTTCCACACTGCTCTTCAGAGCTGCTCTCATTGCTACAGGATATTATACGCTCTAATTCTAATATCCATGGTCTAGCCTTACCAAAATTTCGGATATACCAAGGCGTTCTCAGCGCTTATTTACAGACACCGCTATTGATGGCGTTTTCTGGGGTATTTTGGAATGGGTCCGGGCTCGCGAGGGAATGTGGGTTGATAAAAGTTGCAAGATTAACCATGATAGCCTGGCTAGAACAGCTCCAGACTATGGGCATCGACCTACTCGAGTACGGACGGAAGGAAAAAGAATTGCATATTCAGGAGAAGATGGACAAAGAGTGTTTTTATAATTATTTGCCGTGCGGGGGATTCGTCTTAAAAATACGCCTAATCAGCTTCACCTATGGACCAGAACCGGACGACTGGCACTTCTGGTTTACGGAAGTGATGCCAAATTTTTTTATACATTTTTGGGACATGGTTGACCACCCGGAGCGTGCAATGCCTGGGGCGTGGATTGAGGGGGATGAGGGCGGCAACGATTACTTTCCCTATGATCTGGAGTACGACTCTCCACCAACCATTGAAGACTGCGATAGGTGGAAACCTAGCGACGATGAACCTTGGCCACCTCCATTATATTCTCATTTCTAGTATCTTAATTCATGAATATACGGCCTAGAAACAGAAACCCGCGCGCTCCTTTACTCTCAAGCGTCTTCACACTTCGTATCCGAGCTTTGTGATCATAGTCTTATTTATCACCCTGCCAGCAACTACCATTCAAGCCCTTTTCACGCACCAAATAAAAATATATATCTCAACCGTCCTTACAAAAACACACCACCCTTTTCACATCTTCAATCAAGTCCTTCTCCTTTCCTTCCTTCCTTCCTTCCCCATCTATATTCCTCAAAGGAAGTTTGTGTAGAGATAACGTGATTAAACTTAAACATCTGGAATGTATCTATTACGGGGTATATACCCCTAAACTTTTGTTTATTTACTTATCAATCTATTGGTCTAAAGATACGGAGCTTCTAGTCTAACATCATCAGGTTCCGCTCTACTTGACACTGCACTGCACCGTAGCGCGCTTGCCTTGGCGGAGATGGTTAAACTGAGGCGTAGGGTATATGGCGGAGAGGAGAAAAGATGGATGGATGGATCGGGTGAGGTTGTTGTATAGGTAAGGTGGGTATTTGGTTCGTTGGTAGGGGTGAGTTGGGTTTGCTTGTATTGTGTTTTAGAAGGTTGATGTATAGCGCTGGTTCTGGATTTGAAATGGGATTTTGGCTGTGTTTTTGATAGGGTGACATTATTACTTGTGGGCTTATGACTTCTTTCCCTGATGCTTCTAGGAAGTGTATACTGATTCCAGACGGGGTTCTGCTTTGGAAATAGTTTATACTAGAAGTTAGGAATGGGGGTTTTTTGTTTGCCAGGGACCACAAGTAATAGATAGATTTCAGCTCTTACTTATGCACATGGACACTTCCGATAATTATGGGTTTATGAGTGAGTTGTCTGTATTATATATTCCTTTAGATTAGCTTATTTAAATCCGAATACCTTCATGTTCTGCTAGATTGCTTTTCCGCCGCTTCGGGGGAGGTGATCGTCGGCTTAGTGATGTGATACATGCATATGCGTAGTATCGTCAGCGCTTGCCGCTCTTAGATATAGTATCTATTATGAAGTACCATACTATAGAATTAAATAGATAAATGTCAGAGCGAATTTATTTAGTAAAGTTGTTTCCTATAATACTCTTCTCTAGATCTCTTTTGGAATGAAGTGAGATTATACTGGAATATATATCATGTGTCATATTTCATTGACGTGAGGCGTGCCTGTCGTGAACTTCCCCGCAAGCTCCATGTTTTTTGTAGCCCATTTTTAGGTCCTACTATAACGTCAATGTTGTATTTGTCACGATCTGCTTCCTTGCAAGTTTGTCCCTAGTTAAGAGGTGATTTAAGCATGGCTCTGATTTGGAAGGTCATCATCAAGCGGCCAATTAAAACCAGTCTCCTTTATCATAATCCTTGGTTACGAACTTTCGATGCAACACTTCGTACGAATTATATACGTAACGTACCTTTCAGTATAAATGACAATTCCCCACTCTGGTAAGCAGCTCGGATATTCAAAGCACAAATAAAACCCACGCCACGTTCCTATCGATACTAAACGTGAATCATCCCCACCACCACCACCAAAGCATACCCCAAGCAACGCCAGCTATCATGTCCTCACCACAAACATTCTTCATCACAGGAGCTTCCGGCTCCCAAGGCGGTGCTGTAGCACGCAAACTCCTAGCATCAGGCCACAAATTCCAGGCTCTAGTCCGAGACCCTTCCAAACCCAGCTCCCTCGCTCTCCAGAAGCTAGGCGCAACACTCATCCACGGCGATTACGATGACATCCCCGCACTACAAAAAGCAGCAACCGGATGCACCGGTGTCTTTATCCTTCCCGTGCCCACGCAAACGCCAGGCCAAGAGTTAGAGCACACGCAGAACATCATCGCGGCGGCGAAAGCGGCGGGTATCAAGCACGCTGTGTGCTCCACCGTCACGCGCGCAGAAGAGAGTGACCGGTTCTCGTTCACCGTTCCAGAAAATGTCCCCGTGACCAAGTATTGGGAGTCGAAAAGGGGTCTCCAGGCTGCGGTTCAGAATGCTGGGTTTGAGACTTGGACGATACTGCAGCCTGCTTGGATTATGAAGAATTGGATTGCGCCTGTGTCGCACTTCTATTTCGCCGAGTTGAAGGGGGAGAAGGTGCTTGTTACTGCTTTTGCGCAGGATACGAAGATCGATTTCACGGCTGCGGAGGATGTGGGGAGCTTTGCGGTCAAGGCGCTTACGGAGAAGGACAGTGGGCTGGAAGGGAAGATTGTGCCGATTGCAAGTGAGGGGTTGACGATTGGAGAGAGTGCTGATGTTATGAGTGAGGTTTCTGGGGTTAAGATTGGGTGGAAGCTTAAGAGCGAGGAGGATATTGAGAAGGAGAAGAACGTCAATCCGAAGGTTGCGACGCAGCTTTGGCAGAGGTATGATGGCACTAGGGTTGATATTGAGCAAGTGAAGAGTTATGGGATTCCATTAACTTCGTTCAAGCAGTTCTTGGAGAACAATAAAGAGCAGTTACTTGCAGCTGTTCAAGATTAGATGCAATCAATATTAAGTATCAATGTCTGATCAAAGAAGTTCTGACTAGTTCATGGATAATTTGCTGCACAAAATGGTCTCCTAATACAATGACTGGAAATTCTCAATTTCGTGGCCGAAATACCCTAAAGTATATAATTCCACTGAGAAGTTGGTCAAGTCACTTCTTCAGTCACGAACAAGAGCAGCACATGCCGACCTGAGCAGTTCTATTCAGAGATCAAACAACTCCATTTCTAATCAACACAATAAAAGGTATATACACAAGAACATGACTCGATCTCATAGGCCTAGAAAGGTAGGTCATTTCACAACATCCACCTAGAATGTTCCATCATTAACAATCATCGTCATCCTCATCCTCATCATCAGGAGTGCTAGTAGCCGATGGAGTAGCTACGGCAGTGCTCGAAACAGAAATGGACTGAACAGTCTGGAGAGTTGTTGGAACTGCGCTGGAGGTGATGGAAACAGACGTGGACACAACAGTCTGAAGAGTCGTTGGTACCACGCTAGAGCTCGAGACAACAGCTGCCTGGGTAGAAATTGTAGAGATAGATGCAGAAGCAGATCCTGAAGCCACAGCTCCCGATCCCCCAACTGTGAAATCAACACAAGACTCATACGTCTGATCAATGCTGGCAGCATTCCACCAATGCTGCACCACGCACGCACCAGCCGTAGCACACGTGTCCCCAAGATCAGAAGGAATGGTAATAGAAAACGACGTTTCGTTTGCCGGAATCGTCTTCGAGTTATCCCCGAAATCAGCGTATGTGAGGAGCGGCTCCCCAATAATGGCATTGGTAGCCGTGTTCACAATCGACACATTTGCTGTTCCCGTATGAGGAGCGCGAACATCGAACGTGAAAGCAACAGTCTGGCCCGCGGTCCAGGACTGCACATTAGCAGTGTTGTCGGCGAATTTGTAGCCCTTGCACTGCCAGATATTGCATTCGGCTGCGTTGTAGTCGGTCTGGGAGCTGGCGACCTGGAGTTCGCCTTGGATATTGCCGTAGTTGTCGGATGCTTGGTTGTTGTAGACTTGTTCGCCGCATGCTGCTTTCATGGCGGTACCGGCGAGACGGGCTTGTGGGGAGGTGATGAAGCCGTGGGCGGAGATGGTGGTTATGAGGCTAGCCAAGGCGGCGAGGTTGGATGATGAGTATTGCATTTTGAGATGGGTATATTGGACTTGTTGAAGAAGCAATGACCAGCAGAGTAGAGTGAATGAATGTAAGGGAAGAAAAGAATGTGATGGTGCTTGACCGAAGAGAACGTATTGCTCAGCAATAGACAACGACTGTGAAAGAAAGTGAAGATGAAGATGCAATTGAAAGAAAAGAAAATTGTTCGAAAGCATTTCTATTATATTGAACGAAAGTAAATGGAGCCACAAATTTCAGCTCCACTATGACCCACGAGTCCCATCCATAAGATGAACTGTTTGGCGGAGAAATCATATTCCGTTTGAAAGTATTGCGCGTGGATAGCAGTTTACTCGCCTTTCTTTTAAGTCTGACACCCCCCACTGCTTAGCGCGGACCGCTAGAATCCTACATATATAACTGGCCTATACGAAGGAACCATAGTATAAGTCTTAAAATAATGGGACTAAACCACTCCTAGCTTGAGATTTCTCAATTGGAGCCCTGCAATAGTCAAATCCAAGCTCTTCGAGTGGTGCGGGATATACATTTATTGAAAACAGTGGGCAAGTCAGACTTTCAAAAAAGCGAGCACCATTCCTTGAGAAATGCTCTTACTCAAAATAGAAATAACATCAAAGCTTCATATCCCGAGTCCCGACGCGGCGACGCTGGCCAACCAAAGACTAACTTGATGCCCATACTACGAAGTACCACGAGGCGAATTGCAATTTGCAGTCTTCGAAACCGCCACGTGGGACCCCTTGTTAGACAGATATTAACTTTATTTCCATTGGAATCGCAAAGGATGACAAGTGGAAAGAACAATCAATGTATCTGCTGCAAGAAGGAAGTGACGCAGGGTCAGTGATTATAATTGGCCCCACGAAGACGTTTCAACGTCGCCGTTTCGAAACGAGGAAAGGGTCTTGGCGCTTGGATTTACAAGTGGGTCGACATGAGATTTGCACAAGCGATGCGTGCCTGTTGCTTTAAATAAAACAAAACAAAACCATGGACGGTGGTCTATTTACTTCCCAAACCGCAAAGATATTTAGAAGAGGGCAAGTGAAACAATTGGGATTTTTATGTATGAAAAAGCCAACTTGGCTGCTCTGCCACTTGGAAGCAGCCAGATTAATACATGCTGAAATCCACAAATGTAGGACGGGGATAGATTGACAGTTTTTCATTCGAATTGGGTATCATGTTATATCGCAGTTGAGTTGCCCCCTCTATCTACACGCTTCCCCTTTGCGTCTTCATTAAGACTTCTAGTTTTCTGCAACTTCGCCTCTGAGAGTCTCCGACTCCTGACTCTCTGCAATGATCTAGGCAGTTCTTCGTCGTTCGCTTGCTTTTGCTTCTCGAACTGCTGAGCTTCACTCATCTCACTGTCTGTATGCTTCGATAACGTTCCTCTCCTCTTCTTGGAGGGGACTTTCTTTTCGTTTTCAGGTTCAGGCATAACATCTCTTTCTTCATCCTCGTCCGCCTGATCATTTTGTTGAAGAAAAGTTGAGTCGGCTGTATTATCAAGCTTATCAAGCCCATTTCCTCTCTCAATCCTCTCAATATACTCCCGATATGTCGGTCTCGTCAACAACCCACTTCTAAACTCATTTGCCCCAACCAGCAACTTCGTAAGATCAACCAGCTCCTCTAGGTATTCAATAACCTCAATCTGCCCTGCGCTGGCAGCGTTCCAGCTCTGAAACTTTTGCCTGACAACGCGTTTAATCATCGCCATTTCGATTTCCGAGCGCAGTGTATCTTGGGCATCATTCGCGACGACAACTTCTCGGACGCGGTTCACCATTCGTAGATGTGCTAGGCGAGCAGAAGGTAGGAATTGTGGGAGTGGAATTTTGGTAGTCAGAGCTTCGTGAACAGCGAAGAGTATTAGCGTGATTGAACTAGCGACATTGCGGCGATAGGCGAAGACTTGTGCGTTTAACTCCTCCAAGACCCCAGAACCGTACTCGTGGCGTAGGTGGTGCATGTTGTCCATTCTGTCCACTATGGCATGTAGCACGTACAAAATCTCTGCGTAGACGAGGGCGAGGCCTTTGAAAGAGCCCTTGAGGCGTGGTTCGTGGGCACAGAAGGGGAGAAAAGTTTCTGCTGCTGTGAGAGCACCTTCAGCTTTGCCTTTTGCGCGCTCGAAGCGTTGCATGACACCTCCTGCGTGGACATCGACGTTGGCTGCGGTTTCGATGCCGTAGGCGAGGCAGGCCTCCATCTCGATGATACGGCTGATGGATGATGCTAAGGATTCGACTAGACGGTCTCGGGCTTTTACTGGGAAGAGGACCAATTCGATGATGAGAGCAACTACGCCGCCGATGAGAAAGGCAATCCAGCGTTTCAAAAAGTTTTCCGTTGCCGAGCCGGGGACAGTGTGGTCTTCTGTAGCTAAAGCTACAATACACATTGAAATTATGGACACCATCCCGGCCTTGATATACTTGCTTCCTAGTTGGATGTACGTCGAAGGTATAATGCCAGTAACGAGTAATACCACACAAACAACGCGGTTGCCATTTCCAGCCTGATAAGCGGCATAGCCCCATATACAACCTATTGTAGTCCCTACTCCTCGCAACATGAAAGTCATTACTGATGTACCAATAGCGACTTCTGTGATTAAGACGAGTTGCAACGCTGCCCAAAGACCGCGATTAAGAGAATACCAAGTATTCCATTTGTATACAAAGGCAGGCCAGGTGACGAGGAAGACGGCAATCGTGAGTTTGAGGGCATAGAAGAAATCATCGCTCTCAGCTAAGTATTCAATGCCATCCGCAAGGTTATGCCGGAGTCGATCGATCAAGGGACGCTTCTTGGAGCTAACGATCTCTGGCTTTGTGGCCTTCTTCGCTGCTTTTGGTGTTTGTGACCGCGACTCATTCGTCGGAGCAGACTCGATGTCTTTTTTCGTGAGTAAAGACTCATTGCTCGTGGCAGAATCATCGTCATCATCTTCTGAGGCCTTATTTGTCTTGCCGGTTCTCGCTCCTTTTTTAGCATTTTCAGGCAATGCAAACATGTCCTCTTCTCCTCCGGAGGCCAGCCACTTTTGCCAGTTAATTCGAGGAAGATAGATGCGTCGTCTACCATGTCGAGCCTGTCGTTTTTCAACCAGGACTCGGGATTGATGTAACATCTGAAGAATCTGAAAAGCAGCATGTCGGAGATTTAGAAGGAACGACGAAATCAGGAATGTCTCCATTCTCGGCATGATGTCCACCTGGGGATGATCTAGACCCTGCAATGCTGCCGCGCCTTCGAGAGCACTAGCAGAGTTCTTGTCGAAGTCTGCCAATGCTGTTATCAATATATCGATCCGGATGTCAATCTCTTGTAGTTGGATGCCTTTTGGCGCGCGAGCACCCGATGGTAGTTTGGAGACCTCATAGCAGTAGGCTAGACATGAGGTCACAACGTCAACACTTCTATCGATTTTTTCTTGCAGATCGGCGAGTGGTTTCGCAATTTGGGCCACCAGATATTTCAGTAACTCAATATCGCCAGACTCAATCTCTTTCCTTGGTTTGATGAGCTCTAGATTATCTTTATCTTCTTCCAGCTTAGTCTTATTCTTCCGTTTCTTCCTCGACCTTTTCTTGTCTTTCTTCTTGGCAGTCTTCTCGTCCGTGGAGTCATCATGCGAGCTGTTTGCCCTGGAAACGGGTCGTGAGGATTCATCCCCACTTTCAACAATCGCTTCTTCAGCGACACCGTTAAGCTGGTGTTCAGCCTTATTTTCAATCTCTTTCTTGTCATCGTCATCACCCATAAGAGCATACTTACTCTCGCAGGCACCAATGAGAGCGATGGTATTTGCAACAAGCTTCTTCATGTGAGTGTCACTGATCGGTTTCAAGTCTCGAGGTGGCAAGACAGCCCAAGTAAGCTCGAAATTGCATTCCGTTTGCGCGGCTTTGCAGCTTGCCAGCTTAGCACGTAGTTTTGCCTTTGAATCTGTCAATGATTTAAGCTTGACGGGTTTCGGCTCTTCTTTGGATCCAGATTTCCCAGTCTTGTCCCTCTGGAAGAGATTTTTGATTTTGGCCGCGAACGAAATATTGGTTTCCGCTCTGGGCTCCTCGTCAACGTTCTTAGGAGCCGTCTCCTCTTCAGTAGGCGATTCGACATCTTTCTTCTCACCTTCCTCTTCAACGATACTAATAAAGTACCTTCCCGTATCCCGCAAAGCCTCCACCGTCTCCCCTAGAGTCTCTATAGTAGTGGCCCCTAGAAATCCACTCGAAAACTCCGGGAAAACCAGCACATTTACCAGAATCAACACGCCCGCAGCCGTAAAAATCGGATATAGCAACTGCGTAACCGCCATCGTCGTAACATGTGTAGCCGTACTCGTCAAACTCACAACAGACACAATGACTAGTAGCAGAACGAAGATGAAAAGTCGTGGTGTATGCGAGCGCAGGAAGCCGTGGAACATCATGGCAAAGACGAGAAAGACGCCGCGGATTGTGTAGGCGGCGGGTTTGTCGGTGGAGTAGATGAGGGAGGAGAGGTAGAGCCCGAAGGTCGACCAGGCTACTCCTACAAGTGTGCCGGAGAGAGCCAGGACGAGGGCTTCGGCCATCATACCGAATCGTCTTCCTGGGTGGCCAAACACGGTTGTGATGGGTGCCAGGTATGCGGCTTTCCCATAGACTCGAACGACGGCGGGAATCAGGGCTAATGTTACTGCAATTGTGGTTGCGAGAGTATTCTTGAGCATGCGCTGCCAGAGATGGTTGTTGAGGAGGTTCGTCCATATTGCTTCTGCTCGCTTTTCGGTCCAATCCTCCCCCTTCTTTATACATTTCTTGACTTTCTCCATTATGAATACGATGTATGTATGTCGGTAATCCTGTTTATATCCCTAAACCTACGAATACGTGAAAAGCATAGGCGCGTCGTCGTCATTGTATCGAAGCTGTATATAACTTCGAAATGGAGGATAGACGTGAGGTTATAGTCAGCAAAGAGGATGGGTTAATTGAATAGCTGCCACCGGGTGTTTGACCATTGATCCATGATGAAGGTTTTTTTATAAGAGTTGATATGGGTAATTGAAATTTAGAGAAGATTGATATTCACTACGCAGTTGGTCGCTGTCACCAGCCGTAGCTATCGGGTACAGTATCACCCCGCCATCACATTCCAGCAGGTAACCCTCGTACAACTGAACACTTGTGTGCTTGGGGAAAGTCTACAGATTAACAAGATGGCGCCCTCTTCAACCATTATAGTAAGCTCTCCACTTGCAGTCAATACAAATTCCCAAGGTATCAGAAAGTAACATCATTCCCTCCAGGCAAAGCTCAAAGTGCAGCTTAAGCTCTCCATTGCGCGCCTGCGCATGGTCCAACAAAAGGATGAAGCAATATCCAAGCAACAGCGTCGCGCAATGGCCGGTCTCCTCGAGTCTGGAAAGATCGAATCTGCCAAAATCCGCGTCGAGAACATAATCCGGTCCGATATAACGACTGAGCTCCACGAAATCCTCGAATTATACTGCGAACTCTTGCTCGCGCGAACAGGACTTATGGAGGGGCCGACGTGCGATGCGGGATTAGAAGAGGCGGTTCAGAGTCTCATATATGCAGCGCCGAGGACGGATGTAAAGGAGTTGCAGTCGGTGAGGGCGCTGCTTTGTGATAAGTATGGCAAGGAGTTTGCGCTGCAGGCAATCGAGAATAGTGATGAGAAGGTTAGTACGAAGGTATTAAAGAAACTTGAAGTCACACCCCCTTCAACAGAGCTCGTAAATGGGTATCTAGAAGAGATTGCGCGGACGTACGGGGTGGATTGGCCGAAGAGGCCGGAGCCGGAATTTGTGGATGATGAGGTGGATGAGGATGATGAGAATCCGAGTGGGGGACAGGCGCAGAAGGTGTTGGAGGAACCGATTATGGCCGCGGCTGGCAAAGGGGGAAGGGAGGCAAGTGAAAGGGAGGCGTTGAGTAAAGCGACGCCGCCGAGGAACCTTGGCCCGAGTAGTCCGTTGAGGGTCAATCCGCCGAGTCCGAGTACGGATAACCTACATCCTAGGGTTAAGGGAACATTGGACTTGAAACCGGCAAGTAAGATGAAGGAAACGGGTGCGAATCCAGGGTTACAGAGTAAGGGGCCAGTTGGGGGGATAATACCGGATGTGGATGAGTTGGCGAAGCGGTTTGCCGCTTTGAAGAAGTAAAAGACATATTCGGAGTCAGGGAGTTGCGGGAAGGTTAGGGTTGAGAAATCCATTGTAATGAATCACGCAGTGTTCCCACGTCCCAATCCTTCTTCTCTACGATCTTTGTGTCCCATGCCCATTATACCAGCCTAGTAGCTCCTAGGCAGGCCGAGCACCTTCTCCGCGACATAATTCATGATCATCTCCCTCGATACCGGCGCAATACGAGGCACGAAGCACTCCCTCAGATATCTTTCCACATGATATTCCTGCGCGTATCCCATCCCACCTAAACTCAGAACACTCCTCTCACAAGCAGTAAAAGCAGCCTCAGCAGCCAGATACTTCGCACTATTACAAGCGACCCCAACAGCAGTCTGCGTGATACTCTCGTCTGTCGTCGACTGGTCGTACAACCTCGCAGCATGATACGTAGCCAATTTTGCAGCCTCGAGATGCATATAAGCCTCAGCTAGCGGATGTTGGATGCCTTGATTCATGCCAATAGGTCGTCCGAACACAATTCTCTCCTTCGCATACTTGGACGCTCGGTATAGAGCAGCAAAGCCAAGTCCTAGTGCTTCTCCGGCGAGGAGACATCTCTCGGCATTCATACCGTGCAGAACGATCTTGAATCCCTGCCCCTCATTCCCGATCAGAGTATCAGCAGGTATAACATAATTGTCAAAGAAAACTTCATTAGCATCCACAGCCCTCCCACCCATCTTCTTGATCTTCTTGAGCTCCAAACCCGGCTTACTCTTATCAAAGTCAATAAAGAATAGCGACAGCCCCTCAGAAGGTTTTTTCATTTCTTCCAAAGGCGTAGTACGCGCCAGGAGCACCATCTTAGTGGCAACTTGAGCAGAAGAAATCCAAATCTTCTGACCGGAAATCTTGTATTGGTCGCCGTCGCGGACGGCTTGAGTTCTGAGTTTCAGGGTTTCGAGACCGGTGTTGGGTTCTGTTACTCCGAAACAGGTGCGGTAGGTGCCATTTATCAGGTTTGGGAGCATTTGTTGGCGCTGGGAGGGCGTGGCGAATTTGGCTACTGGCTGGGTTGCGTAGACGTCTTGAGAGTGGATTAGAGGTGGGACGTAAGGGCCCGAGAGGTGGTCACCCACTTGCATGTATTGATTGAGCTCCTGCCATACCAGCACCAGACCTAATTTTGCTCAATTTCATCATATAGAACTTGAATCAGCCTTACTAACTCTGAGATTGTATGCAACATCATGGTGGCCTCTGAAATCCCTAGTCCGGCACCGCCAAGTTCCTCTGGTAGAGCAATACCAATCCAGCCATCTTTTGATAGAGCCGTGTGTAACTCATGGGGGTACTCTCCAGATTCATCATGCTGGGCCCAGTAGTCCTGTACCTCGATCAATGAAATGCGAATTTGATGTACCGCTCACAACTTACATCCGGGAAGTTTGAGCATATTTTGCCAATTGCTTCTCTCACTTGTAACTGAGTATCAGAGAAGCCACTTGTTTCCATTAATGTATTTGTTCGTCGTGGAATTGATGCTGAGAATCTCCGGCATTGAGCAGCTTGTATAGTTGAGCAGTAAAGTTCGCCGACTTTTAGACATTTTGAAGCGGATCTTGCTCTGATCATTTTGATGGATGACTTCGTCCAAAGGAGATGGAATCGGCATAGATTTATATCAATACATAGACGAAGCTACAGTAAAAGAAAACGGGAATCAGGAAATACACGAAAACGAATGAATATTCATGAAGCCGTAATGTTCTTATGACTGCTTTGCTTTATTAGTGAAGTTCGGCTGTGAAGGAAATCGAGGGGTGATTATTGTTCCCGAGCAGCCCCGCGCCCGCTAACGCGGCACGGCCACATCTTAGCGCAGACCACGTGACTATGAGCTTGGCACGGCGGGTTGAAGCTGCCCGAGACCAAAACAACGCGGTGAACCAAAGCCCACCACCAAACGCCCTCGACAACCCTCGACAACCAACGACAACGCCCAATTCACGACTTTGCGAATACCCATCTAGCTTTAGCTTTGCACGAAATGCTTTTATGATTGCGCATACCACTCTTTCTGCCCTTTTTTGTCTGACATCATTGCTCAACGCGCATTGTTTTGATCCATAAATCATGGCGACGATGCGGGCAAACCCGCGACTGCAGGTCGGATCAGCACCATGGATAGAAGAGGAACGGGCTTCTGCACTACAGATTGCAGAGGCTGAAGCCGAGGAGTTTACGTTCTCGGCGCGAAATGAAGTCGAATGGCTGAATGAGCATATGGCGGAGATATTTAGTGAGAATAACGTGTATGTAAACAAGCTTCAGCACCATAGCTTTGCTAACAAAATGGTCACAGAAACGTCGCAGAGATATTCAAAACACCTGGAAAACTGAGAGGAAAGACACCGAGGACTGCGCGAAAGATCAATCCTCTTGAGTCGCGTCTAGTATGTCGAAACATTGGAATCTTGAGGTCCATCCATTCTAACAGCTTATAGCCATTGTCCGACGTCTTCTCAAACACACCGCGAGGAGCACCTAGCCCTTTCAAACAAACAAATTACCAATCCCCAAGACCGACATTTCGGGTCGCCGAAGACGAGCCAGCACAGAAAACATCATTCATAATACCAGAGGCTGCGGGTCCGGTGAGTCCAATACAACGAAAGCCAGTCCCAACGAATTATTTCGATTCTGGATACTTTGGCAGTCAGGCAATCGCTGCAACTCAACCACATGAAGCAGCCGAAATCCAAGCTACGCAGGTAAATTCCCCTATAAGGGAAGGCGTAGCTAGGGTAGAACTATTGGAGCAGGATGCTGTACTAAATCGCGAATCTGGCGATTCATTCGAGTCGGCAAAAGAGCAGCAAGCCCGAAGTCTGTCAGAAGAGATGGAAGTGGACCCCGAAGTTGCCCAACCAAGCAGCGAATTGGAAAGTACGCGCCCAGTGCTAGAATCGCCACTCCAAACCCGAACCCAGCAACCATCCTCACCACAAAAGCGATCACCACAACGGTCGCCAGAGCGACCCGCAGCAGTTTTGCAGTCCCAACCAAAGGTTGCACCACAGGCCGAAGAACCAACACCTGTTGCTGAAGATGATCCCATGGAAGATGTTCAATCGCCCACGTCTGATGGCTCTAGCCCTATCAGACCTGTCATTGTTCGCAAGAGCAGTCTGAACTTTGCTTCATTGCCGGCGAGAGAGCCAATCACTACAAAGAAGAGTATCGGTAGCCGCGTATCACGAACAAGTCAATTGGATCATACAAGAAACAGTTATTATGGCCGAGCCACTGGTGGTAAAAGTCTCGGAAATACTAAACACGAGGAATTGGATAGAGATGAGGATGAAATGGACGTTGACGTGGATGACACCGAGATCCCCAGAGACGACACGGAGTCGAAAATGACCCAACTTCATAACAAAACATCGACGCAACGCCTTCAAGACCAAATCAGCAAGCTTGGTCAGTCCCAAAGCCATGCCCGCCCAGCATCAAAATCGATTGCAGGCAATGGGATGGTTGCATCCCAAGCTAATCAAGTGCCACAACCCGCTACTTCCCAAGAAACGCGACAAAAATCACCTCTGCGCAAGGAGCGCCCAACACCTGGCGCATTTCCAGAAGATGAGGAAGACAGTTGGATTGGTCCTCCAACCGTTGCGCCGCGCGAGCCAGCAATTTTCAGCCCAAGACCTCAACTACCAAAAAGCCATTCAGCGGATGTCATGGAAGGGATTCACGGGAATGATAGTATTGGTGGTTCAGAATTCAATATTCCAAAACGAGGCGATGCTTCACCTCACCGTGCGCCTCAACGATCCCCTCTCCGTGAACCTGCAATTCCTGAGAGGACTACTAGCACTTTGGGTCATATCAAGTCAGCGTCGACTTCGATTCTTCGATCACCCAAGAAGGCAGGTGATTCTCCCGGAAACAAGGGTATTTCAGTGTCGAATCCAGAACCTTCTATTCATACAATCAACGAAAACGAGTCAACGACACCTCCAAAATCACCATCCAGAAGTTACCGCGGCAGCCCATTGAAAGCTGCCAAGGACAAATTCTCATCTATTTTAAAGACTTCACGAGGACTGTTCGCTAGTAGCGCGGCCGTCAGCGCTGAAGCGAAATCTACGTTTTCCCCAGGAGGACCTTCAAATCGCCCTGGCATTCATCCGACACCATCCTTTGAGGATGTTTTGTCACAGTCCAGCAGCAATGCAGTATTGTATCCAACACTAAGCAATTCAACCAATAGCGAGCAGAAATCTCAAAGGTCTCCTAAAAGCCTCTTTAAAAGCAGTACTCGAAAGACTCGTGCATCAACCGAGAAAGAAGAGCGAAAAAAGGAGGAGCAGGCTCGAGAAGCTCGAGAGGCCAAAGAAGCCAAAGAAGCACTGAAGATGGCGGATCAGCTGGAGCAGGCTCGTATGAAGGTCAAGGAAGAAGCGCGAGTGTACCATCTCGAGCAAGAACGAGTTGTGGCTATGCAAAAAGAGGTCCAGGCTCGAAAGGACAAGGAGCAGCAGTCTAAGAAGGCCCAGGTAGACGTACCCAGAGCTACTAGGTCTAGCCCGCGTAAGACAAAGGCACAACTTGAAGCTGAGGGTATTGCTGCTGCGGCTGCTAGCACCGAAGATGTCTCGGGCCGAGATGTTGAGATGAATGATGCGTCCGCCATGCCACCCCCTGCTGCAGTTCCTCGACCCAAGTCTCAGATTGGACGGCCTGGGCCAAAGAGGCCTCTCAAGCCGTCCAAAGAGCAGCTCAGCAAGGCTAAACCACCAACAGTTATTCGTGTCGACACTGGCTCCCAGCGTGGTCATCAATATCACCCATCAACCTCGACACTTTCAGCAACTTTACAAGATTCATTATCAGCCCCTGGTCCATCTCATAACACGTTGAAGAAGAAGGCTAGCAATAGTTCTATACAAAGCAAGGCATCTACGAATAGCTTCAAGTCAGCTGCAAACAAGGCATTAGAGGCAGCAGCAAGGAAGAAAGAACAGGTATGACACTACTAGTCCATGTAAACAACATGACAGCTAATATAACTAGGATGAACTTGCTGCACAACGGAAACGAGAGGCGAAGCAAGAAGTCGAGAGACAACGTGCTGCTAACAAAGAGGAAGAGCGCCGAAAGGAGGAACAGCAACGCCGACAAGAAGCGGAACGTCAACGCGAGCTGCAACGGGAACGGGAACGAGCCAACGCCGCTGCAGATGCGAAGAAAGCTGCATCAAGACAAGCCATTGAGAAAAGACGACAAGAAATGGAGCGGGCAAAGCAAATGGGTGCCCCACCCCCAGCAATCAGACCACAGACAGCTGGGATGCATAAGGAATTGCCACCTGTTCCAATTCAACGGAATGAAATGGGCCAAGCAAAAGCCGGTCGACCTCAGGAGGATCTCGGGAAGCCTGTTAATGGGGGGATGCAGAATTCGTCAAAGGTTCCACCAAAGCGACCTCTCCAGCAGGATGATGAGCATACACGCCCTCCGATGCAACGGAATGGGCCATCATATCATACCAATGAACCACACTCTAAACGTCGCAAGACTAGCGAAAGATTCGACGATGATGATGATATGGAAGACCATCCCAAGATGACTGCTCCTCCAATTCGTCAATCCAGCAGTCGTCCAAAGGTAAGACATTCTTTAAAGCTCTACAGTTACAGTACTAACGTTGTCCAGGATGTGCAAACTAAATCATTATTCCCAAGTGGCTATGCCAATGTGCCACCATCCAACAACCTTCAACGCAACACACTTATCTCCCAGCATACCATGAACCAGTCGAAGCCTGCGCACCCAATGGACATGGCGCAAGTCTCAAAAGGGCCCATCCCATTCGCATCAAGCTCTCAAGCCAATGCGCAACCATACAAAACCCCTGCCCGTCCCGGGATCTCGATGGCCAATGGCAAATCAGCTGCAAAATCGACATCTAAGCCCTCACCGAAATATCAAAATGGCGAGAATATCGAGCTCCCCGAAATCAACACCGACTCTGAGGACAGTGATGACGAAGGCGGCACCTCGTTCCCCGTCAGTAGCTGGGCTGACTCGCCTGTCCTGCGCGAACAGCTCGCGCGTCAAGAACCTATGGATCCGTCCAAGATTTTCGGTAATCCTGGTCCATTGAATATGGAAGAGGTGTTTAGCAAGAGTAAAGACCGCTTTGGGAAGTTTCGAAATCGCACGAGTAGTGCGAATTGGGGTGGTGTTGACCGGTTGACTGAGGATGAGATTCGGAAGGATTTACAGGCTAGGGATAAGTTGCGTAGGCAGGGGGGCTGGAGTTATGATTCTATGGTCTGAGGTTACGACGGGTTTGAGTTTATTCTGCAGTATAAAAGCTCCATGCTTAAGTTTGTGCTTTTTTTTTGGAAGTTTTGGACGTTGGTGTATGGATAGAGATGATGGTATTGTTGAGAGAGGGTTGATTGACGACTGCTTGATTCATTGATTGGGGCACTTTTATTGTTTATTCATGGTATGGTGCTTATGGCGTTTATGGGATAAGTGGAACTTCTGAAGCAAGCAATGGACACTGAAAGAAAGTATCATGTCAATAGGAGTAATGAAAGAATATGGACATAATGTTCTCTTGTTTTTTTTCGTGCCAGCTGTATGTATAACTGACTGACTGGTAATCCGGGAAGTGGTCCCGCTCTTGAGTTGAGGATTTGTGCTCTTGAGGAATCGACTTACTAGATATCTCTGATTTGCCCTGCACCTGCCCCTGGCTTAGGTGTTTGTGGTTCTTGACCGTTGAATGTCCTGGGGGAGGATCCCGTACTAATAAATGGATGCGAGCGAGAGACCCCTTTATCTTCGCTTAATCTTGCGCTAAAACACGTGGTAAGGTAATACATGTTGTCACGAGACTTTTTAATTTATTCTTTATAAGGGGGATCAATTCCATGTGGGCTATATGCAACATTCGGTGGCGAAGGTACCTATATACCTACCTTACTTAGCCTTTGTGATTTAATTACTCGGCAGATTACATAAGGGGTGGTTGAGGATTGCCAAGGAGTAACATCACGTGCAAGCCAAATACGTCATGACATTCTGATCAAGCACAACCCCGCCAAAGTACAAGGTAGTACCTGATGACATAATGATATTGTTGACTTTCCATTGGGAGGGGATACTTGTACCTTGTTCAAACTACGTCAACGTCAAACATAAGAGTAAGTACTCAAGTCTTCCTTTCAATATAATGAAGTCTTTCACATCACTTCCAATTCTAAGAATTTCATCTTCATCCTCTACTTCCAGACTTTTCAGCAAACAAACTTTGTTGCTAACATCCATCCCTATTCCTAGATCAAACACTCTTCAAAGACCCTTTTCTCAATCCATACCCAAAATGTCCTTCTCCAACACCGACACCGGCTCCAAGCCAGCAGACCCGTATAAGGCCAAGAACATCGACAATGCTACCATCAAGGAGAAGATCGAAGGACTCACCGAGTTCATCTCTGCCAGCAAATTCGGCATGATGACCACTCGTGATGGTTCTAGCGGGGCTTTGGTATCCAGATGCATGGCATTGGCAGCCAAGGTTCGTCCATCCCAGTACCACATTACTCTCATTTACAAGTACTAATAGATACCAGGAAGGAGGCGGCGTCGACCTCATCTTCCACACCAACACCGAGTCTGGCAAGACAGATGAGTATATCATCCAACCTTCCCATTCCTATACCACAACCTAACATTTCCCCCAGTATCACCTCCGACCCCCACACCAACGTCTCCTTCCTCAACAGCTCCGGCGAATGGGCCTCGGTCTCCGGCACCTCTGAAATCATCACGGACCGTTCCGTTGTCGAAAAATACTACTCCTCGTCCCTCAAGGCATGGCTAGGAGATCTCGGTGACGGAAAGCACGACGGCGGTCCCCAGGATCCTCGGATTGGCGTCATCAAGGTCACGACCAGGACGGCTACCTATGCTGTGAGCAAGAAGAATGCCATTAGTCGTGTGGCGGAGGTTGCTCAGGGTGTGATTACGGGTAATGCGGCGAGTGTTAATAAGTTGAGGGAGATTAGCGAGGAGGATATTTTGACTTGGAGGGCGAGTAATAAGTTGGTGCAGTAGATGCAAGTGTTGCCGAGGGGCGATAGGAAAGTTTGGTATGAGCGTGACTTATAGCTGTCTAGGGAGCTAGCTTACATGAATCAATGGCACAAAAGTTTGTCCTGGAACTCGAGGTAGATGCACTAATGTGGTCTTTGGTATTATTCTAGTAGTATTTGGCATGATTTTGTAATCTCTTTGATTTTCCTATTCCCTATATCGCTAGTTGGTTTTGGTAAACTTTGCTCTTCAGCTCGTCGAATTAGTATTGCGCTGTTTATTCCTTTACCAGTCATTTTACTTCAACTCTTTGTATTAATACCAGCATTATATCTATTCTAAGCAGTGGCTTCACGTATACGTGTCTAGCTTACTTGTTAATATTTATATTTATTTACATCCAGCAGAAACAGAAGAAGCCTACAGTTATAGGGCCTCCCGAAGGATATAAAGACATGTCAATTTAGGTATTCATGTCTATGAGTAGAATCTTGAAAATATACGGAGTATCTCAAGTGTATATCTAAGCAGCTATATATTCAACGACGACGTTTACGTCCCTTGCACTTGGTTTCGGATAGACGGTGACTTGTAAAAAGTCAAAGGAGAGGGAAAGAGAAGGATAGGTAGGTAGGTAGGTAGTGAATGGACGACAAGACAGGTTTATATCTGTCTGTGAATTGCAAGAAAGGCCAAGCCGCAACGTACTCTGCGCCATCAATCATTGAATCTCTGCATGGCATGGTATGCGCCAAAGTCGAGTACAGTGTGCGTGCGCGCGCACAGTACCATAAAAGCCTTTCTTTCATTCTTAAGCCTTGGATCTCCATCCCATTAACAGTCCACCTTCCCCCAAAACCAGCAAGCAGTCAGAATTAGGAATTCTATCTGCACAACCACAACCGCCTCCACCTCTACATAAACCAAACACCCCTCCAAGACAACACTAAACCCTTTCGAAACCCCTCCTCAGGAAATGGCGCCCCCCAACCCAACCTACGAATACTTCCGCACCCTAACACCGAAATGCGAAACGTGCTATACGCTGCAAGAGGTGCTAGCAGCTGCTAAAGCGGAGAACGATAGTCTGAGAGAGGAGGTGAAGAGGCTGGAGAGGGAGGTGTTGGATAGGGAGGAGAGGATGAGGAGGTATAAGAGGGATTTGGTGGAGCTTATTCAATAAGGTGGCTTGGAGGGAGGTGATGGAATGGAATGGAATGATGTTGTGTTTGGGGGATGGATTTGCACTTGGATTTGCATTTGGGAGCTATGAATTTTGGTCTTAGAGAGGAAGGGTGGGCAATGAATAAATGAATAAGTGAATAAATGGATGGGATGTATATGCGTAGTGCTTTTCATGAGATAGATTGTCTAGGTATGGGGTGTTGTGATAATACCAACGACTTTCTACCTATCCATCCTATCTTCATTATAGCTACAGTTGCTACTTACTGGACAGACATCTAAGAATAGATAAAGTAAATCATAGAAAGAAAGTGTCTCTTGCCTTGAATGAATGTATAAAGGGTGTGGAGATTGGTAAATGCTCGTTTTCTTGTCATGGCATTGTTTGTACTTGATAAGGCTCAATCAACGCTTTCACAAACAACATAATACAATATAGCTCGTTGATATACAGAAATGCACCTATAAGATAGAAACAGTACAACAGAGTGGTGAATGGATATTAGTAGAACAGAATTAAAGTGGATATTCGCACACTTGTTAAATATAGTAATATTACAGACTTTTCCATCCTTGTTCCAGATCTTGACTTGACATCTTCCTAAACAAGAATAACAACCTTTGGCTTTACACACCTAGTTGCCATCCCGACCAACACACACACACACACACACACACACACATACATACACAATGGCAACCTTACGTCTAAAAAACGCCTACGTCGAGCAGGTAGATATTAACGACCAGCTCGCTGTCGCACTTCTCGTCCAGAACCTCCTCGACGAGAAAGACCCCAAGAACCCCACCTGCGAAAAAGAAAAGAAGCACTTGTTTGAGGAGAGGATCAAGGCGGACGTGGAGTGTAGGCGGTTGACGGCGCTTAGGAATGGATTGGATAGGGAGATAGAGATGTTGGAGAAGAATATGCAGATGCAGAGGCTGGTGCATGAGATGTTTATTTTGGAGATGCAGAGGAAGGGTTTTAGGGGGATACGCTGTCGGGGGGTTTATAGGATGTGATGAGATGTTGGGATAATGGTATGGTGGGGGAGGAGAGTATAGCATAAGAGAGGGGAGGGGATGGGACTTAGAGGTTGAGATAATGATGCTGGGAAGAGCAGAGTAAGAGGAAGAGGGCGTTATTGGTGGAGCGAGAGGAACATAATCAATTGATTAATAATTTACAAGAAGACTATTTATTTGATCATACGTGTTGATATCATAGGGGTGATCAATGGAATTCAACCATAAAGGAACGTGATATACTATGCATATCTAGTTCTGCGAGTATGATATGAAGTGGGAAATTATAATGCTTGGCTTAAGTATTACAGGCTTCAACGAGAAGTGAATGCAGGTGACAGAGGTCCTAATTATGATTCACAGTAGCTATTTCGTAATCCGAAGAAGTTACTTGTCTTACCTTGCCTTGCCTCGTGAACAACCAACATCCTCCCCTCCTTGAAATAAACAAAAGCAAATTCCAATTCCAGCAATCTAAACACTGAGAACGAAGCAATAGGAAAGCTGAGGCAAGACAATTTGTCCAGTAAGTACAAACCATATTTTGTAAATTCCAACATACTCCTCAAGGCTTGATACCTAGCTTGCTTTACCTCTCAAACAGTCCAAGAAACCCAAATTAATCAACTCCCCATATTAACCCACTCAAAATATAGTGATCCAATCAGTCATTCAACCAAACATGGAAGAACCCTCTCCCTCCCCGTCTTCTCCAAGATCCTCATCTTCATCAGCAGATGAATCCCGCACCAGCACCTCCACCATATCAACCACATCCACAACCCCTCTCCACCAAACCCGGACACCCGAAAAGCCCACCAACACCACAGATTTCACCCTCGGCTACCTAAAAGGCATGCGCGCCCAAGAAGCGCTGCGAGCCCGTGAAACCATGGTCTACGCCTCTCAGATCCAATCGCTAGAGGCGGAGGTCATGCTGTATAAGAGCCAGCGCCAATACTTATGCCAATGTAAGCAGGGTTGGGGGTTAGGTATAGGGGCTTGTTTAGGTTGGGGGTGGGGTTCTGGAGCACCATCACAATCGCCAACACCAAGAAAATGAAGTGGATAATGCAGATGCTGGAGAGATTATTTGGCGTTGTGGAAATACGGTGAACACTATGCGTTTACTGGAGGGAGGAGAGGGCAGGAGAGAACATTTTATTTGGAGGTAATTGGAGTTGGATTTGGAGTCGATTTTGGAGGATTCTTTCATATGATATGGAGTACGGCGCAGACTGACTGACAAAGCTGGATCTCGATGTCGAGTCGGCTAGGCTAGGCTATACTTGCGAGTTACCTGGCGTTTCATTCATATCAATCACATCGCAGCACAACACATTACCGCATACTTACCTATCAACCATCATTCACCACATTACTGGAGCATGCAGGCAGGATGGCACGCAGAGAGCAGATTAATGGGTTAGATATGACACCAAGATGATTATTCTACATAAAGTATAGAGAGCACACCAATCAATCATGATCAATGATTTTGGAACTTTATGAATATCAATATCCCTCTCTTGAAACAGCAAACCCTCTTTCTTGATGCAAAGCCCGCTTTCACCAAACTCCCATTTCTCCCTCAAGAAACAAAGTCCTTAATCATTTAATAAACTCAAGCCAACTTAAGTCAAGCAGAAGATACATATCATATAAAGCACCCCATAACCATTCATGTCAACGACCAAAGCAAGTCCAAGCTCCATCCGCACCCCCACCAGCGAATACCTAAGAGGCTTCAACACAGGCATTCAAGAATGCGAAAAGCAGAAACGAGAGCGAGATGAGAATCATGAGGATAATAAAGGAGCTAAGGAAGGATGTGCAGAGGGTGAAGGAGAAGCTGGAGGGGATGGCGAAGGTATATGAGGGGGAGAAGAAGAGTGGAGCTGTCGGAGACTCTGATAGGAGGACTAGGGCCCGCGAGAGGGAGTTTGGGGCTCATATAGGGCGTTTTGGACATTGGGTGTAAAGTGAAGTGAAGTGAAGTGAAGTGAAGTGACATTTATGGGTTTGCGGGTGGGAGGAGTGGGTTGCTGGACAAGCTGGGAGTACGGAATGGAAATAGGGAAGGGAGTGGGGAAGCAAAAGCCGTTGAGATGTAGGTAGATAGATAGAAAGATGCCTGGTATTTAAATTGATCGTAAGAAAGAAAAGACAGGTCTTGATATCCTAAGGCTCCATGTACTCTGGATTCCTGATGATTTTACCTCCCTGTTTGTGTCTATGGCTGTGTCATCGGAAAGCACCTATGTGATTTGAGTTGAAGATGAGTATGTCTGGGAATATTACTGCTCAACACGAAGCCAATGACTTTCTGCTTGTGTGCGTGAATCAGCACTTTGAACAGCTTGAAACGACGCCTATAAGAGCTTTCTTGAGACCTCCTTTCACGTCTTCCTCAGCCATCAATCTTCTTTCACTACACATCCATACTCAACACACCAGACCAAGCATTTCAGATTACAGCTTTGATCACACACGATGTCCTCCACTTCAAACAGAAACAACCAAACCACTGTTGAGCATATGGAAGAGGTTTCCCAGGAACACATGGTTCTGCCGGAAGACAACACGGTCAACACTAAATATGATCCGTCACTTGGTCTGCTCGACTCCAATATCAATACTTCGAGATTACATCCTGATACCCTGACGAATACCGCAGCTATCCTGATCGAGTGGCTAAAAAGCAACATCGACTCCAAGACCAAGTCGATCATCATTACTCCAACATCCGAAGGCATTCTTCTGGAAGAGACTACCAATAACAGGGCGAGTCAGAGCCAGAGCCCGAACACAAGAACACGCCGCGATGGATACGTCCAAGATCTCGCATACCTGAAAAGCCAACTTCAAGATGAAGCGTATATTGAAGGTTACTCGAACGCCCTGGATGATGTAGAGAATAAGGTTTCCATGGAGAACTTTAAGAACGACATCAATTCCAAGTTTGATACAGACTCTGAATACGAGTCCCAATTTGGCTATGACTCTAAGTACGACAGCGAGCACGGTTTCGAAGACTACTCTGAGCATGAAGGCTCATTGATCTCTGATACACACAGCGATGCGTGTTCAATCTGCATGCCTTTTTCAAAGATCGAGCAAGAGCTTGACAAGGTATATAATCCAACAGAAGTTGACAAGATCCGACTCTTCAAAATGATCGAGGCCACATACGGAAAGCTAATCACAGAGACCACTTTTAAAACCAACAGTATCAGACAAGCAATGATGACCGGCGAAGTCTCTAGCATGATCGCGCGCTTGAGCCCGTCGGATATGGAGAATGTAGGGGGCATCCATATGCTATATGCCAAGATTGCAGCGTATGTGCTTGAACATGAAAGCTTCTGCGATAACCTGGAAACCTCCCTGCTTAGCATGCGAGGATCCTTCACATCTACTCGATGCGAAGCAGAAGACCCAACGGAATGCGAATGCAACGATATTCGCATCAACGGACTCGGACGCGACAGCGGGCTTGCATCATCTCGCGAACAGTACTCTCAGGCTGCTGGAAAGAGCCCCGCAGCTTGTGAGGATTGTGTCGCGGCATTGGAGGGTGGAGATGCAACACCAGACTTCAGCATTTCTGAACAGGATCAGATGCTGGGGAGACAGCTGTGAAGAATGGTGGTCCAGGTTCGGTATATTTAGCTTTGAAGTAGTTAGGTCAGCGGTAGAGGGTATCTGGGATCGTGATTTTGGGGTGGGCGATGAAGGACAGGACACAGATAATTTGCACATAGCCTGGGTTTCAATAATAAAATCGTTCGGTTTGATCCCTCAAATAGAAGGCGCGAGACAACCATTGGCTCGTGACCATCTTGTGCGTAGGCAAGTAGTCTTCACTTTATACTTCGCAGTAGGCGTCCTTGTCGTGCGAAGCAATAATAAGCTGCACCAGCTGACCCTGGTTCAAGACGTTGTGCATCAAATAAGTACCGTCCCCAATCCACATATACTCTCGGGCATCCTCGATTTTCCCGGGTTCTTTGCCAATGCTGGCTTGAGCGTCTGCGTACGGATTCAGGGCCATAACGGCCCATGAGCCGGTATTTCTGGGGAAGGCAGCGGGGTCGTCCTTGTCGAGAATGAGCAGTTAAATCGTACTGCGGATGCCGTCGGCGCCAATCAAGACATCACACTCGCGAGTGGTGCCGTCAGTGAAGTAGAGTGTGATGGATCCAGCACTGTTCCTGTCGATTTCGTCGAGCTCCTTGCCAACCTGCATGCGCTCTTGGGGGACGTCGGCCTCTTTTCATCGTGCCTAATCATTAATTCCATTTACCCGTAGTAATACATATACAGGAGCATCTAGCCACTGTTGAAACAAAATCTTACGACTCTTGAACGCAGCAACCAAAAGAAAGGCTCGCAAATGATTGCTAGCAATTCGTCACATTTTCTTGTATTCTTCACTATCCGGGTATCCCCATGCTCCAGAGTATACAACCGTCTATTTCTATCATCCATATCGTTTAACAAGATCTCTCATATCCCCAAGCATCCTGTAAACTCGTTGAGTGTCAACCCTTTCGCTCAACTGGAAAGCAATGCTCACTGTTCTCGAAGCGTCTCCTTTTCTGTAAAGAGAGCAGAAACATGCGTATTGAACCTCCTATTAAACAATCAGTATGTGAGGTCTCTTACATGGTTGATATATACACAGAATGCTCACAGCTTATAAAGGTCCAGGCGGCCATCGTAGTCTTCCTTCGGATCTGATTTCTGAACATAGGAGTGATAAGCAGCCAAGTACTTTGCCCCAAATTTGTTACAAATTGGTCGCCATTGTCCAAACTCATCTTGCTCACACATGCATATCAGCAAGCGAATTCCATTTCTGATGCAAATCAGTCTCTTAATTAAAGACAAGGGATGGCTCTCACATTCATTATGAGCATAGAAACAACAGGCGTCGAAAATAAGAGGCTCGCCAGAATCTACATCAATGCCGGAATTTGCATACCAGAGGTCTCCATGCACCAGTGACGGCTTGATAGACCGTCCTTCGCTCTCAAGCGGACGCAGCAGACGCGGAATGACTTTCTCGAAAATGACTGGGACAAGGACTTGGAATTCCGGATCGTCTCCCTTGGCTTCGCGTTCAAGATCTAGAGCTTTCCGCAAGCATTTCGCAAAATATACTTCCCAGCTATCTTCCCACTCATTGATCTGCGGTAGATTACCACTATAAGTCGTGACATGAAACCCGAACTTCCCATTCGGGGACGCGCTGTTCTGGTGCAGTGCAGCGAGGCGGGAGGCGAATTTGTGAGGATCGGGCATCTCGTCGATCATCTTTTTGTAATCGCATAGGAAGAAGTGCGTGTTGGGTATGGACGTGTAGGTTCCCCATGCTATGGGCCGAGGTGCGAAGTCTGGCATGTAAGTGTGGATGGTTTTCATGGACTCAAATTCGCCGTGCATCATGTGCTTGCCCCGATCTCCGGAGATCACTTTGATGAAGAATTTCTGGGGCGTGCCGTCTGCAAGATCTACGTCGATTCGGGCTGTGTTGGCCCAGAAGCTTGCTCCGTGGGCTTCGGTGGAAATCACTTGACATCCTTTGGGGAGCTCTTGAGGACAATCAGCGGGTGGTCCGTTGACTTCTATGTAGTTTTTGGTGTTTGGTTGCTAACCTAAGGCAACGCTAGGATCAACCTTAGTATTTCCTTCACCGAATTGGAGCCCTTTTGCACCCTTGTAGTTCATTTCCAGAGAAGCTATATAGATGTTGAATGTATAGAAGTAGTATATTACTGTACAGTTTGGTGCTCTTAATGAGAGAGATAGGATGGATGCAACATGGAGCACTCTGATACTTGTAGTAGAAAGCTCATCTAGATTTCGGCGGCTACAGCGACGTCCACCAATGAAGGAATTGTCGGGGTTGAAAGAAGACCATATATTAATCATGGAGGGACACTCGGCGCTTAGTTTTGTGACTAATCCTTTGAGACGCGCGGCACAGTATAATGGATCGGCCGATAATAGTCCCTTTAGACACGACAGACAAGATTAGCGCTAGGGCATTCCTAAAGTGGAATACGTGTCGTTATTGGCCTGTACGGCGCGTTTATAGGCGTGTTCATGGGTCCTCGTGGGTCTTCTGGAAGAGAAACTCAATGACCTGCTAGAGCGACCTTCATAATACGATCTTCCATACCCTCAATGAACACAACCTCAACGCCTGCGTCCTGTAACCGTTGCCGCCCAATGACCAGTACACTCTGATCGATGAAGTTTTCTGGTTCCTTGATCCCTATGTACACTGTTTTGATGCAGTCCTTCAATCCTAGTATCCTATCTACGCAAGGTTTGTTCCCACTCAGTCTCTTGTTGCATGGTTCCATGGTCGTATATAGGATAGTGTTCTGCGGTAGTACCTCGCAGAGTCGCTCCTCTGGGATATTGTACTTATGCGCTACTTTGATGAAGCAGCACTGCTCCGCATGTGTCTTCCCTGGATCTGCGGGATTGTTGTCTGGCAGTTCCAGCGACCACCCGGTTGATAATATCTTGTTCTTATCCGCGTCGACAAGGACGGCTCCTACGCAAAACTTGGTGGGTGCTGGAGGAGAATGTCGAGCCTGCTCCAGAGCATAATCCATGTACCCCTCATGATTGCCGGCCGCGATGTGGGGATGGGTTTGTTCGGATGCCATCAGCGAGTCGAAATTGAGGAAAAGATCGGTCTTGTGTAGTCGAAGTGTCGAATATAATGATCAAGGAGGTAGAGCTAAATTGTGACCGCGATTATTGCTCGAGGTGCAAGCCCAGGTACTTGAAGAGTTTTAGCGGAGGCTTCGAGGAGCAAGGTATCTTTCTGACGATACGGAATCGTCCACTTATCACAGTCATGCAAGTGCCCGTTCCCGTTGTTTTAGGATGGTGAGTGCTTCTGCAACTCATTGGCTACCCCACCTATAGTATACGAGATGTGGGACACAAGTACGGAGGTCCAGCGGTTAAGATCTTACTATATTTTCACAACGCTAGCAGGGGCCTAAACCTTTCCAACCTTCAATACTCCGTAAGGATGGAAACCTCTAGTTTATATGTACCGAGTACTCCGTAAATTGCCCTTTAATAACCTGTTCATTATTTATTAAGCTATCTTCATTGCCATTTCCACGTGCTATCAACCAGGTCAACCTGCGTAGATCACACGCCCAGCCTGGCATGATTGAAACACTTTGTCATGGCTTTTGACCATCGCAATGCTACGAGAATGTTTTGAAAGCGACACCTATTAATGTTCAAGGTTCAAGTGGACCTGGTGGACTATCTAATGATCAAGTTCTGCGAGCCTGGGAAGACAGGAAAGACAGACACCCCATGATGCCGTGAGAGCATTTGTGGTCCGTCTATCTCAAACTCTTGCTAAGTTGTTTAGTGTTTCTCAACGCGAACTTAATAAATTGCCTATCCCAGAAGTCGTCTCACTCTTCAGTGGAGGTTCCAAAAATATCGAACGTCCTGCCGCAGATCCAAAAGGACCTCTCGGCCTTAACCTTCTATATGCTCCGGCAGAGGCTCTTGTCGACTTCATTTTTGTTCACGGCCTTGGCGGTGGATCGAGAAAGACACGGAGCAAAACGACTTCGGAGGAAGACTTTTGGCCACAGGAGTGGCTTCCCAAAGATATAGCTTTCACACATGTACGAATACACAGTTTCGGATACGACTCGGACTGGGCAAGAGGCAAAGTCAATATCTTGAACATACATCATTTCGGCAAATCTCTTTTAGGTCAGATAAGCACGTTGCCATGTTTGAGAGATGCGGATACACCAATAGTACTTATCGGGCACAGCATGGGGGGTTTGGTAATCAAGAAGGCTTATAATCTAGCAAGGCAGAGTGCCACTTGTCAGTCTCTGGCCAAATGTGTGCATTCAATGTACCTGCTTGCCACTCCACACAGGGGCTCCGACTCCGCCAAACCTTTGAGCGATATTCTTCAGTTCGGTTCGATATCGCGTGAATACGTCGCAGAGCTCAAAAAAGATTCCGGTAATCCTGCATTGACTTCAACCAGGGTCGGACGAGTGCAATTAGTGCTGGTAACCAGTTCCTGGCAGTTGGTCTTGCAAATGGGACAATCATTCTGTATCATACTGCATCTTACCAGGAATATAGGAGTCTCTACCATGGCAAGGCTGTCAGATTTTTGCAATTCAAGGAAAAGTCTGATCTTATGGCATCCTGTGGCATGAAGAATATAAAAATATGGGATATTCGCAGGGGCGAAATAGTCCACACCTTTCAGCCCCCTCGACGCCCCATCTGTTTGACCTTTGACCAAGACTTACTCATGGCTGCTTCGAATCAAAACAGCTTAGCAACATGGGACTTGGCCAATGATGGAGCACGAGATCCAGACACATTTTGGAACGATACTCTCGACCAGACTACCACGCAACTTCGCCGACCACCATGCGCCATATCAATATCTGTGAGCCATCAAATGATGGCCGTAGCTTATAGCGGAAAGCCTATATTACTATGGAACCTCGCCGGAGACACATTCTATGGCAACTGTGGCAGGAAATGGTCCAATGGCAAAACCAGCACTGATCCCATCTCTGCTCTCGTCTTCAATCCCAATGTCAATGTTGGGCTTCTGGCTGCATCTTATCTTGATGGGCACCTCGCCGTTCTTGATCCCTTCAACGACCAAGATCAGTGTGGTTTCCGGGCAAATTGCCACTCCCTCGCTGCCAGCTCGGATGGTCGCTTGCTTGCAGGAGGTGCAGGCTCTGGGATCATCCAGGTGTACGAATTTAATACTTTACGATTACTTTACAGTGTAAAATCATCCAACTTCTACATAGAGCAACTGACTTTCAGTCCAGATGGTCTCCATTTTGCGGACATCAGAGGCTCTCAATGCAATGTCCGGGAGCCGGCAGTCTTATTTCGTGACATAGTTGGTGACGATAGCAGCGTGGACTCATCAAACTCTGTTGTGGAGGCAATCTTATCTGATAGCAAAGTCAGGATCAGTGCTATGATCTTGCACCAAAATCTAGAAGTTGCATTCTGCGGCACAGAAGATGGCTCAGTTTCAGTCTACAGTGTGAGGAGTGGTGTCCAGATGGGTACGTTATATTCCCACAAAATACTCGTTCGCATCTTGACCTGGTGGAAATCGACTGGTGTGATAATAAGTGTCGACACATCCAATACCATCTCTGCGTGGAAATTGCAACAGGATAAACCTTCAAGCTGGAAAGTCGATACGCAACTGTTTGAGTGTCGTCTTGATGGCGGCAGTACCATCATCCAAGTGCTACAAGGCGAGGCAGCTGGCAAGTTCATCCTTTCGACTCGTGAATCAGACCACTTATGGAGCATCGCTGGCCACGAAGAAAAAGTTCTTGGACACCCAGAAAAACCTAGGATTAGAAAATGGATTCAGCATCCACAGTCATCGCTCCACATCATCTGCATTGACGGTGCTTATGCTAAGATTTACATGTGGGATGACTGGTCGGAGGTTACTTGTGTTTGTCTTGACATCGATGTCGATGGGCTGCAGCTGAAATCCATCTTTCTATTCACAATGGACCGAAAGCCACAAGTTCTACTGGAAATGTCGGTATTGAACGGTTCAGCGAAGACACAAAAATTATACTTTTTCGACGTTTCTCTCTTCGACGTCGCCATTCCCAACAACACTAAACAAAACCAAAACAATGATTCGACTAATGCCAGCGAGGCCGCCGCCTCTCTTCAATCACCCATGCTACTACACACACCTTTGAACCCACGACTACACTCGCAAATCGACATCCTAGCTGACTACGTCTCCCACATCATCGGCATCAGCGAAAGCGGAAAGCTTGTCTTCCTCGATACACGCTCTTGGGTGTGTTCCGTGAGTCTCGAGCGCACCCTCGGCAGCTCTATCTCATATTCACGCCACTTCTTCGTCCCGTACGATTGGTTTTCCGGCACCCGAGACATCGTCTGTGGATTGGCGAGGCGCGATGTGATATTTGCGCGAAACGACAATGTTGCGATTATCAAGGGTGGGTTGGAATATGTGGAGACGGTGGATGTTAGGCTTGAACCTCCGAGTCCCAAGGGGGCCTGGGGCTTGGTTTTGGAAGATCATTCACTGGATTTTCTTGAAGATCCATGCTTAGAATAAGTGTTATTTCTAGGGGAAAGGATCTTGAATTGACTGCTGTTCTACAGTGAGAAGTACGCTGTATATATAGGGCCTTCAAGTCCTAGCATTGCATAGGCTATGCATTCCAACAAAAAGGCATGAAGAAGTCTTTCTTTGCGCCATTTAAAGCTGCCTGAGCGAGCAAGCACTTTAAATATAAGATGGAGTTACCGACGGAAGTATATAGTAAACCAACGAACGGACCATGGACTTGGATATCTAAAAGTGCAGCTAGGTGCTGACGACTACCTTACTCTGTATATATATCAACTTGTTCAACTTAATCTCACCCGTCCGGTATGTCCTCGCATTACCATTCCTTATTCCATATTCCCCTATAGGCTATAGCTCAAAAACTACCCAACCTACTATCCTCGGTCATAACCTTTCTTTATTCTGATACTATAAACATTAGATCCCGGTCACCATCAAGAGAATCTTCAGGCAGGAAAAACCATGTCATTTGTTTTAGGCAGATGGTAAAATGCTTCAAAGATAGAGCTTTCCAAGACTCCAGAGAATAAGGAGCTGTGATAAGAAAAATAAAACATTAACTAATAGAATAATCAGGCGGCTAAATAGGTATTCAGAAAATCCCCCAGATACCAGACTCAAATAACGCTCAAGCGCCAGCCAGCCCACAACATAAAACCTCATATACACGTTAAAATTTTCACCCCGCCTTTTTATTTCCTCTCCATCCCACTCCTCACTTCTCGCCACCGGCCTCGTCTAACTTTTCCGAGAACTGGCTTTTCCTATTCGAAGAATTTGGAGGTGGGCTAGGCGAAGCCGCCAAATAATCACTCGATTCCTGTGCTGGATTTTCCGGAGAGGTAAGCGGACTTACGACATTGGGTCGCGTATTCCCCTCTGGCGCCGACGCAGCTAGGTCTCTGCGGGCGCGATCCAAACCCTCGCTAGGTGTAGCGTATGCTCCTCCGTCGGTGCTGACCGACGTATCGCTGATGCCGCGCAAGTGGCTGCTACTGGCGACGGAAACAATGGCGTCAGCACTTGGACTTCCGCCTAGAGGAGGCGAATCGGCGCGCGCTTGGTGTACGGGTGAGAGTCCGGGGCGCGGGACTGAGGTGCGCGATATGCCGGAGATGGAGCTTGCTTGCGAGGCGTGCGAGCCTGTTGATGGCGAGTGCGTGACTCCCCTGCGGCCTTTGGCTGCTGCACCTGCGCCGGCTGCTGCGAGGGGCACGAATCCTGTGTCGTGTGCTGCGCCGAGCTCGGTGGGCATAGAGGTATCTGGTAGCGGTAGTTAGTTTCGAGTCAATGCTTGGTTGGGGGAGAGCGGCAGAGCTTACCCATCATTTCGTGGACTTGCGAACCTCCCATTTCTGGTATGTCTGTCCTGTCCGTTCTGTCGGTCCTGCTGAAATCCTCTCCATACGGATCCGGACTAGACGGCGTGTCGTCTGTGGTCACAGTCGGCGCTTTTGCATCTACGGGTGTGGCGCGTAGCCAATTCGTTACCCATCTTCGGTTGTCTAGTGTTCCTGCTTCGCTTTGGGTGCCGGTACCGTTTTGCTTGAAGATTCTGCGTCTACGCCATAGCAAGAATGCGATGAGGAGGAGGGTGACGAAGAATAGGCCGAGGACGACTCCTAAGACTGGTGCTAGGTATGACGGTGTTCCTCCAGACTTGGAGACTGAGGTTGGAAGAATGGTGGTTCGGGGCTCTGGCGTCGTACTTGGATTGTAAGGGTACCAATTCACAATTTTGGATGAATTGTATGGAGATGCAAATAGAGCCTTCAAGGAGCTATCTGAAAACCCGCTTGGCGATGGTGCTGTCTGAGTCGCACTGCCTGTTCCAGTACCCCCGATCATGGCAGCTATCATTGAAGGAACCGTATAATTACTCCAGTTCTTAGGATTGTATGAAGTGATCCATTCGGAACTGCTCAAGTTGAAGATTTGGATCAGGTTACCGTCAAGACATGTAGGGGGGGAATCATCAGGCAAGGATGCGTAACCACCAATAACGAACATCTGATCTGGATAAGGCTTAATGCATCGATGTCCTGCGCGGGCGTGGGTTGATACTCCAGAATTGACCTTCATCCACATGAATGATGGAATCGACAAAATCCAGACATCGTCGCTGAAGTTTCCATTGATATTGATTCCGTCAAAGCCTCCATACCAGTAGATGTTATGGCTTGTGCCATCTTGTGCAGATGCGAGAACCGCACACCCTTGCGTCAATTGACCCGGACTGCCGGTGGTAGCTTGCTCATACCAACTTTGTTTTGCAATATCATAAACAGACACCGTTGACATGAATTTGGGGCTTTGAGCCTTCTAGAGCAAAGTTAGTCTAAGTAGTCAACATCTGGGGTTCATTCGTACACTATCAGCAGTATCGGATGCGTTTAGGGTTAGGTTGATATTAGCGAATACAGGATTAATCACACCCCCTATAGCAACAATAACTCCCTTCTCAGAGACTGGTACCCACACAAGTTCAGCATTAGCACGACCGGGAACACTGGTTGGTAAGGAACTGTTGGTCCAGGTTTCCTGGCCCTCGGTACTCATATCCACTTGTATCAAAGTGTCGGACAAAACGCTGGCCCCGACGGAGCTATTTATAGGGGGCGGTTGATAGTATATTGGACCACTGGTTGGGGATTTCAAACCTCCCATGTAGAATCCAAGATTTTCTGATGGAACGCTAACGCCGGCGCCATTTGTAACATATCTTGTAGTTCCCGTTGACGTTGTGCCGAGGACGTATCCAGAGGAGAATTGTTTTTGCACTTGAGGATATTGTTGATATGCGGGAACTGAATCTTCCCCCGGGGCTTTGAAGGCGTCTGTTGGGGATAAAAGTCCCCCATATGTAATCCATTCGTAGTCATTAGCGAACATTGTCCCATCGTAGTACTGGGGTCCGATATTGTTTGCCGCCCCGCCATTTGAAGCCTTTGATATGTTTGTAAAGGCTGTCAAGCTGAGATTCTGCCCTGGCGAAGTATCGAACGGCGTGCTAAAGTTCAAAAGGTAGACTAATCCAAGCGGGTTCCCATCAGATGTGGGAGCGCCATATGATCCATCATTCATCCCCGGCTTCCACCACAATAAACCTCCATCGATATAAAGCGTATCTCGAATTACAGCAGCTATACATTTGTCAATATTTCACTAATACCAAATTTCGCTAATACCAAATTCTGAAGGGATCTTTCGCAGAGCATGGACGTACCTCGAGGCGAATCCCAGTAGCACATGGTTGTGTTCACCTGGCCGGCCTGCCACCCCGCCGCTTGTGCCACACATTGCTTCGCGAAGAGCCCCAACGCGAGCAATATCCTTTGCGATCGGATCATGATGTATTAATGAAGAACAACAGATTTTCTCTGGTTATGGATGGCTGAAGGATGATGAACCTCTAGAGGCTCGGCGCACCAGAGGATATCGAGGATAATGCACACTGCACGATTACTTGCTTTGTTCTTTGCTGGGTGGGGCGCTCAATAAGCACCCAGTAAAGAGAGTTGAAAGCCGCCACTGTCTCTCACACCGCATACAAAGAATTCGATGCTGACTTGGGTAACCGAAAGCAGGGCTAGACCACGATGATCGTAGCCAGTGATTTTGACGGGTTCGGTACAAGTAAATAAAGGAATGCATGCAACCTTCCTTCTCGAATCTCAGACCAGACCAGACCAGCACCCAACATGGACAAGACAAATCTTCCGGTGTTGCGAGCGCGGTGGAGAATGCATGCCCATGCATATGCAGATGCTGGGGTTTTCGATTAGTTTGGATATAGAGTAAAAGTTGCAGGGTCCCGAGAAGGATATGTCTTTCATTGGAGCAGCCGCCGATAGACTTCCTCAGCCCTGCGTACCCTGAGTACAAATGTACCCTCCATAAACTTGATCTCTGGTGATTCTAGCGAGTCGTCAGACACTCCAGCACGCGGGGGTATATATCCATTGGACTGTGAATACGAAGAGTGACTTGTCGTGCTCGTCGCCACAACGCCATTTCAGCCAACGTGGGAGGAGTCAACCAGAAATCCAGCAGAATGAATAGATCAACCAGAGACGATCCAAGTTGGATGATCCAACATCGCATCGCCACACCATAGCATACCACACATCCACAAAGACCCGTTTGTCTAATCCATGCGAACGGTCACGTTCTTGGTTGGATATGTGATTATCTTTGTGCTTTCGGCCGCGCGCAGAAGAAAATACTTCTACTGTATAAGCGTTCGTGGTGGATCTGCTTTTACCATGCATGGTAACCGGTGCGACCAGCCTCTTTGGGTTGCTTACCTTATTGATCCACTTTATCCCCAAAGTGGGGTAAGTGATGGCCACTACTCGGCTACTTCTAGCCACAACCACACAGTTTATCCGACATTGAGGCTCTCGACCGACGGTGTAGCCGCATCGGGACACCATGTCAGCACTTGCAGCCCAGTCCTGCCCTTACTAAAGGACATGGGAGAAGAGCACGGGCATTGGTAAGTGTTAAGCCGTGTCACGGGACAAGCCAAACGAGTGAGGTGAGGGGTATGACATAACTTATGTACCTACCTATGGTGCGTTCAAAAAGTTACAAACTAAATTTACGTAACTTACCTAGGTAGAGTAGGTAGTTAGGCATTACCTTGATCAGCTCTGCTTATAAGGGTACTGCTTAGAATACCCGAGACTTGCCTTCGTATATACAATCCATATATGATGAGTGCTTTCCCGAGCAAGTGTAAATTCTACGCTATCTACGAGACTACGAAGTACGAGTATCTAGTCAGAAATTAAAGCCTACCTAGGTAAATTACCTACGAGGAGTACAGTAAGAATACACGTAGCATGCACTAGTCACAATTAATAGGTCTAGGCAGACTGCTGTGCCTTACTAACAGAGGCACAACATCTAGTTGTAGGTCATGCCCCGCGGCACGGAAGCTATCTATCTCACTACTTGTTGCTTATCTCAAGCCCAAAACGGCTTTCACCGGCCGCCTTTTTTGACGGGCCGTCCAATCCACACGCTAAACTTCTTTAGGTCAAGACGCCAAGCCCCTCTACGCGAATCATTGCTGGACAACACCGCATCCACGATCCAACCCAACCCCTCTGTTTCCTGGTGATCCTGGTGATCATGGTAGAGCAATCGAAGACTTCACCTACCTACCTGCATATTTTACGATGTACTCCGTATATCGCCATCCATGCCACTATGCACACACCGAAGCACTTTTCGCATACTGGCAGCCTGCCATTGGTTCCAACGCCACCTCTTTCACACAAGAAGTAGACGCCTGCGTATACGGAGGGGCCGTCAAAGGTATCCCTTTGTTCCTGGCCTGGCTTCTGGTGTGATCAATCACACTCGGAGAAATCACTACGGGCCGATGCTCCCCAAAGTAGCAGCTATCTTACTCGAGAGAACTCTAACTACGCCGCACTGGTGGGGTGGTGGAGAGCCCCGGTCTCCTCTGAAGTCTTCTACCGTACTTCGTACGGTATGGTACGTACACGCACCCAGGCTGAGGGTGAATATCTCATCCATGTGCTGTGTTAAATGCGCCGGATCATTTCTCCGATGTTGCAATTCCCCGCTAAGTCCAGAAGCCGAGGGTAGGCATGGTGTAGGTGTGTTACCAAAACTTATTCAAATCGAGCGCCTTGCACCAAATATTGGTGCTTGTTGATCCTCATGATGAGGCTCATCCAGACTCTGCGAGTGTGTCCGTACCCATATGTAGTCTGTCTGGTCTCCCGGAATCTTCAGCACGCTATTTTCCCGACCCCGGGCCCTTTGAACTTGCTCTGCATCTTGGTACCTTTATCCCAGTACGAACTAACAAAGGACCTGCCGGGATGTTGCTCTACCCCAGTAGCTTTCTTCTTCCAGGGCCAGGGTGCCATAGCTTTTTCCTCTTTTCAGCTATTCGCGCAAAGATTTCTCGCCGACCGTCTGTTCATTTGCCAGAGGCCTTTTCAGATTTCGCGACACGCTTTCGGGGGTTATAGTATATACCTTAGAGTACGCAAGGGTCTTGACTGGCTGATCTGATCGTTTACTGACCATCCCGAAAGCTTGTGTGGAGCTTTGCAACTTCAACCTTGGGGCGTCACCTAGTTGACAGCTGCAGGCCGATCATATATTACTCTCACAGGCACCACCTTATAACCTGCAGCCCTTCGTTGTCCCTGAAGAAGTACGTACCCGTCTTCTACCCACGTTCGCTCGCGCAATACAGCAGAGTCGCTGTTCGCAATTCGATCGTTTGGAAGCCTTTGTTCAAATAGGCCACGATGATTTGGAGTCGGAACTTATGGGCGGTGGGAGGCCTGCTGGGTGTAGCGCATGCTCAGTATGGAACAAACTCGAGTTCAACAAGTTTGAGCGAAGACTCATGCACAGCCGCGACGGTCACTATAACCACGGGATATGAATGGATATATACGGAACCCGCCACTACGGTTATTTCAATGTAAGTTTAAATCCTTCAGATCCTTCAGATGCAGTACAACCGACTAACAAACCCAAAGCTACACCACAACCGTATAGTAAGTTTTGACATCCTTTTCTTTTCGCATCGAGAAGAAATTGGCACTCCCGGCCTGAAGTGCGAATTAAGAGTTTTGGATGAGTTGTATTTTCGACATCTTGAAGACAGGAGCTGGATTCTCTTCATACGCCAATTGAAGAATACTTGATATGCTGCAGTGCATGCGACAATATGCCTTTCAGTTTCAGCTTTTGGGGGCAAGGGTTTCGTGAAGACAAATGCTTACCTTTCATAGTGGCACGACGAGTGTTCCAATCAATGAAACGGTACGGAGATCTTTGCATGTTGGAGAAACCCACTGATCAAAAGCAATAGATTACTTCATACGTGGAATCAGACAAGACTCTTACAGAGACCAAAACCGATAATATTACCACAACGGCAACCCACGACGAGACGTGAGTTTCCGAAGAATGGGTGATATGAAGAGATGAAGTTGACAGGATTCTTGCAGGACAACGGAAATCGACTGTATCTACATCACCCGGACTTCTCTGATTACAACGGTATGTGAAAACCTCCACGAAAGTGCACCTTGAGAATGGATATCCTGTTTTAGGAATTGGTATCCAGCTCTTTAGGTCGATTGGGTTCGCAGGCTAAAGCTTTCCAGTCAATTCCTTACCCAACGACCGTCACCAATTCCTACGGTTATAACGTAACGGTTACAGCATGGAGCACGATTGTGACGACAACTACTGTCGTATCCTCTTACACAACGACGGCACGTAGCCCTGAAAAACATTGCACGGCGAGGAAATCTAATTTGTATTATAGGTACCCACAACGACTACGGCGACGCATCTGACAACGACTACTTGTTATGAGACTACGACGGTATGAACATGTTCCTTGAAGCACATCAATGGCGGATATGGCCTAGTTTCAACCTTGCAGACGCAGTTTAGCTGACCCCTATATTAGTACACGGCTACAAAAAACATCACAGAAATCACTTCAATTCCATACACTGTGACTGATAACGTTACTTTATACTCGACGTCGACTTATACTACGGTAAGATACGGGTGGCTTGTTCTTGCAGCCATGACTTTGACTTGGGAGCTGGAAACGCAGCAATGGCTAAGGATATTTACTGACTTTTCCATAAGGGTTCTACTTATTTGACTACGGAGACTAGTACTACAACTGCGACAACAACGGTATGTTCATTAAATTTCCTCCCAGCTTCCCAAAACACATACCTCACTTTGTCACATGATATTGGCATATCACGTGAATCTTTTGTCCAGCTTCATTCAAATGTTCATTTCTGGTGTGCCGGTTCGGTTTGCTGTCAAGAGATGAGATATACACGCACTAAAGCATGCATATGCTTATTTCTATCTACCCGATACTCGCGTACCTGCATATATAAGCGTAATACTGATATTTGTCCCAGGTTCCCACCACAACGACCCAGATCTCCGTCTCGGTTTCAGAGTCTGATATTACTGTCAACGTACCAACCACAGTTGTCTCGACGAAGAACGTCACAGATACGATTACTGTACCTACTACGACCACAGACATCGAACTCACCACATATACTTTAACAACAAGCGTGCCGTATGCAACCACAGTTTACGACAATTCCACAGTAACATTATACAGCACAAAAACTGTAACAACTGCCTGTGATTGCGTTATATATGTACCGACAACGATAGTGTCGACCACGACTACCACTGCGACGACGTGTATCACGCTCACCTCGACCAAACTTATCCCCACGACAGTTCGCACCACAATTATCAAAGACCATACGAAAACGACAACCGAATACTCGGTTAG